CTTCCTTGCTGACTATCTTGTGGCTGCCATCTTTTACCACACGGAGGCGGCCATCTTGTGTGAGGGTGTGAGGCTCAATTTGCATATTACTTCTTTATTATATAGGAATATAGGATAGGATTCCAACATCTAGCCTATGCCTGAATCTGGTTCTGCTGATTGTTTTACCACTTTTAAATAAGCTCAGTCCTTTCTTTGACTTTTTTGTATACTGGGCCATGCCTGGGTTGGTTCTACTGATTGCTTTATCTCTTTAGAATGGCTGGGGTTTTTCTTGACTTTTTGTATAATTTTTGTAGAGAAGCACAGTAGAGACTTTAGGGAATAAGATTTCCCTTCCTATCTTGCCTCAGCTGCAGCACTCTCTGCCCACTGAGAGGGCATGCCTCTTCTCTTGTCAGGACATTAGTGTAAGAGTTTATTAATCTAGTCAGTGATTGAACTGGGTTTGGGTTTTATTGTTGCTATAGTAACCCTCAGGGCGCCACAGCCTCAAATCCCTCCAGAAGGGTTTTTTAAAGAGCTTTATTGAGGTATTACTCACCTGACATACAATTCACTCATTTAAAATGTTCAGTTCACAGCTTTTCAGTATATTCTCAGCGCTGGGCATCCATTCTCACAATTTGTTTAGGACGTTTTCATCACCCCAAGGAGGGACCCCACTCCTCTTAGCCGTCACCTCCTGCTCCTCAACTTCCCCAGACCCGACAAGCTCTTCCCCACTCTCCGCCCTTCACATCGACGGCATCACCCACTCTGGTCTCTCCGCCCAGCTCCTTTCCCTGAGCACACTGCGGGTCCTCCACACGGAAGGATGGATCTGCACTCCATTCCTTTCGACATGGAGCACTATTTCGTTGTGTGAATAGGTGCCCGGGGGTCAGTGTTGCTCCTTCCTCAGCTTTCACGTCCCTGCACAGCTGCGCCAAGGAGGAGTCTCTGTGCCTCTGCTGGTTACTTGGTGTCAGCCTTGTGGTGGGATAGGCCCCCTTTTCCCGGTCAGTCTCCGGAGCCTGGCCCTCTGGAGAGCGGCGGGCAGTTTCCCAGCCGGCTGGCCTAAGCTCTTCACTTCGTGCAGGAGGATCTGGGAGGGGGTGGCACTGAGGGAGGCCCCAGAAAAGAGCTGTGGCTCCAGCTCCTCTGTCATGCTCACCACGGAAGTTACTAACAGAACTCGCTGGCATTTTAGCAACCGGGTTCTTACCTCCTCCCAAGGATGACTGTGACACCGCCCGCCGGCACCAGGGGGTGGCCCAGAGGTGTGGGGGGGAGGGCGAGCTTGAGCTGAGGACTGCGGTGTCCACAGGTGTGTTCAGCGGACCCTTCCCGGTGTGGAATGGAGTTGTGGGGGAGGAGGGCGGGGAGACAAAGGGCGGCAAGCTAAACCTTGGGGCTGGAGGCCAGCTCCCGACTGCCACTCCTGATGCAAACCCCCAGGAGTCAGAGTCTTGTACCGGAGCCTGGCTTTCCAGAGAGGAAGGCCCGCCTGTAAGGCAGGAGGGCCGAAGGCACTCTGTGATTTTGTAAGCTTGATCTCTACCTTCTGTAGACATCCCTGCACCCTGGCTCTGGTCCCAGCAATATTGGGGACAGGCCTCAGCCTCCTGACGGAAGCCTTTCACCCCCGCCTGCCAGCAAGGTGGCAGGGTCTGCTCTGGTCCTGTTTTGTCATCCGCAATGATACCTACCTTGGGGGCAGGGGTATCACTTGTGATGACCCCGAGTTCTGTACAAAAGAATGCAACAGCGAGCCTACGTCACGTCAGTTACCTCCCCTCCCAGTGTGGATGGCAGGCTGGGTGCCCGCCCACACGGGTCCACCAGGAACCAAGAGATCAGCCTCCCCCACGGAATCCAGCTTACAGCCGCACTGGCACTGCTTCCGGCGTCCATACCATGGATTCGAATGCCCGCCCAGGAGGAGCCCTGAGAAGGTGGCTGCTTCACACACCACGAGGCTGCTCCCTAGTGGCTTGGCCCTTCCGGAACCGAGCGAGCTGAGCTGAGGGCCTCCACTCCCCAGGCTCCCGCACCAGCAGACAGAGGAAGGGAGCATGTACTTGGAGTCAGTGATTACGGGTACACTGTGTGACGGCAACAGTCTAAATCAGAGTGCGGAATACTCAGAGGACCCGGTGGCTGGCCTGACAGGGCAGCATGGGCGGAGCACTGGCCTCACCTGCTTCCCTGCCAGCGCCCTGTGTGCAGAGATGGGCCCTGTGTGCAGATGAGCCCTGTGTGCAGATGAGCCCTGTGTACAGAGATGCACCCTGTGTGCAGAGAAGGGCCCTGTATGCAGATGAGCCCTGTGTGCAGAGATGGGCCCTGTGTGCAGAGATGGGCCCTGTGTGCAGAGATGCGCCCTGTGTGCAGAGATGGGCCCTGTGTGCAGATGAGCCCTGTGTACAGAGATGGGCCCTATGTGCAGAGATGCACCCTGTGTACAGAGATGGGCCCTGGGTGCAGAGATGCATCCTGTGTGCAGAGATGGGCCCTGGGTGCAGAGATGCACCCTGTGTACAGAGATGGGCCCTGGGTGCAGAGATGAACCTGTGTACAGAGATGGGCCCTGGGTGCAGAGATGGGCCTTGGGTGCAGATGAGCCCTTTGTATAGAGATGGGCCCTGTGTGCAGAGATACGCCCTGTGTGCAGAGATGGGCCCTGTGTGCAGAGATACGCCCTCTGTATAGAGATGCGGGCCTACACGAGGGCAGAAAAGCAGCATCAAGGGGGGAGTCGGAGGGAGACAGGGGCAGGCATCCAAAGGTTACAGGATTAATACGTAAAATTGGAAACGTTTGAAAAACTCCCAAAAGAAATTTTTTAAAAATGTTCTTCCCCTCTTTCGGACCATACACATACTCCTTAGGATTTCCCCAAAGTTTTTGCGCATCTAAATAGAAACTGGTGCCGAAACCGGTTTGGCTCAGTGGATAGAGTGTCAGCCTGCTGCGGACTGAAAGGTCCTGGATTTGATTCCCATCAAGGGCATGTACCTTGGTTGCGGGCACATTCCCAGTGGGGGGTGTGCAAGAGGCAGCTGATCCATGATTCTCATTGATGTTTCTAGCTCTCTATCTCTCTCCCTTCTTCTCTGTAAAAAATCAATAAAATATATTAAAAATAAAAATAAAAAAATAAAATAAACAGAAACTGCCGGTGGGAATGGCAGAACTCTCCCCCTGTGAGGGGAGCAGCCCGAGGCGCCCACGAGGCGTTCACAGGGGAAAACAGGAGCGGAAGTCCCCGGTGGGGCACATTCGGACGGCAGGGACCACAGAGCCGGGCCCCTCGGGGAAATCCTTTCCTTTTACAGATGAGCAAACGCAAGCCTGAAGCATTCAAACGACTGAACACAGAGCTAACTGGAAACAGACCAGAATGGAAGTCCAAGTCACCCTGACTCACCAGCCAATGGGCATTCCTTTCTACCACATTGGACCTCCCGGGAGAGGGACGAGTGGTCCCTAAGGACCAGATTCATGCCCAGAAGTAGCCATGGTTTGCACCTCAGACATTAAGGATGTATGTGCTGAGCCCCTATGGGGTTGCCCATAGGAGCGGGGTTGGAGAGCGGTCCAGGTGTCTGGTGGTGGAGCACACCTGGGAGAGGGGGCGGGCCTGGGGGAGCAGGGCCCGGTGTGAGCAGGGCACCTGAGCCTGGAGCCGAGGGGGGCCAGAACCTGGTGGGACCTGGATACAAACCACTAAAAACAGAGATTTTATGAACTTGCTGGAATGCCTGCCAGCAAACACCAGGAACTGCAAGGCTGGAGTTCAGAGAGGTCAGGGTTGCATGATGTTATAAAAAAAAAAAAAACAAAAAAACAAAAAAACAAAAAAAAAAAACAAAAAAAAAACAACTACGGAGCATGCTTTGCAGAGCAGAATGGTCCCCAAGTCCTCAGGGAATCCCCCCTCTTTTTGTGGTCCCCGGAGGAGAGACAAGAAAGACAAACTGACCCTAACCGGGTTGGCTCAGTGCATAGAGCATCGGCCTGCAGGCTCAAGGGCATGTACCTTGGTTGCGGGCACATCCCCAGTGGGAGGTGTGAAGAAGGCGGCTGATTGATGTTTCTCTGTTTCTCTCTCATATGTCTAACTCTCTCTCCCTCTCCCTTACTCTCAGTAAAAAAAAAAAATAAAAAAAAAATTATATATATATATATAGAAAGACAAGCTGTGCGGGATTAAGCTGTCCTGCGTCCTCACTCCTTCAGCGCTCACGCACCCAAACACCCAGCGCGCACCTCCCCGCGAACACGGGAAGCCGCCGGGCTGGGACCAGGCAGCCCGGAGCCAGACCCCCGGGCTCCCCGCGGGCGGGCAGAGGGCTGGGGAGCCGGCTCGCCCGGCGCGGGGTGTCCGTGCCCAGGGCCAGCCGCGGACCCCCGCGCCCCTCTGCAGACCGGCCGGAGGCGGCGGGGTGGGATGGAACCTGTGGCCCGGACACCGAGGCTCCGGGAGGCAAAATCCGGGACGTGAGCCGCGGGGATGTCCCCGGGGTCCGGGTCCCCGCGAGAAACCCCCCGTGGTGTCCCAGAGCCCTTCTCCCCGCCCGGGGCGCGGGGACCGAGTGCTCCCCAAGCCCGCCCCCCGGGGGGCCCGGGCAGAGCGCAGGCTCCGCGGACCCTGACCACAGCCCCGGGTCCCGGGCGCCAGGGCCTCCGGCTCCCGCGGGCGGCGGGAACCGAGGCAGCGGACCGGGGAGGAGGGGACGGGGCGGTCCTCCCTTTGCCCGCGCCGGGGTCCGCTCCCTCCGCTGGCCTCCCCGCCGGGCCCCCAGGAGCGCGCCGGGCGGCCCGGGGGCGGGCGGAGGGCGCGGCGCCGGGCGGGGAGGGAGCCGCGGGCGGGGCGGAGGGCGCGGGGGGGCGCGGCCCGCGGCCATTGGCCCCGGCGGCGGCGGGGGCGGGGGGGGGGTTGGGGCGGAGGAGGGTCGAGGCCCCGGGCGCCGCGGGCCGCAGTCGCGGAGCGAGCTCTGGAGGCAGCGCCCGCCATGAGGGAGATCGTGCACATCCAGGCGGGCCAGTGCGGCAACCAGATCGGCACCAAGGTGGGCGGCCGCCGGGGCCGGGGGGACCCGGGCGGGCTGCTGGGCAGGGGCGCGGGGCCGGGCTGGAGGGGCTGCCGGGGGGGGGGGGTCTGCCATGGGGGCGCCCAGCCCGGGCCTCCGCGCCCCATCCCCTGGGAGCGGCTGCGGGGCCGGGGCGCCGGGAATCCGGCTCCGCCCTGACCCTGCGCCCCGCACCCCGGTCCGCCCGCAGTTCTGGGAAGTGATCAGCGATGAGCACGGCATCGACCCGGCGGGAGGCTACGTGGGGGACTCGGCGCTGCAACTGGAGAGAATCAACGTGTATTACAATGAGTCTTCCTGTGAGTGCCCCCCTGGGCCCCCACCTCTGGGGCCCCCGCCCTTCCCTCCCGGTCCCCAGCCCCCCTCCCCGCCCGCGGGCTCCCCTCGGACCCCGGTCCGCTCCCTCCGCGGCCACGCCCTTCCCCGCCGGAGCCCGGCGGTGCCTTCCCGGGTCCGGGCCGTCCCCTCTGGGCCCGACCCACTCTGCCCGGACCCGGCCCCCGCCTCTGGGACCCCGGCCTTCCCTTCTCTTCCCACCCCCGCCCGGCGTCCTGCTGGGGCTCCCTCCCCGGAGGGCGCAGGGGGTTTGGGGCTCCCTTCCCGGAGGGCGGGAGGGATTTGGGGTTCGCTTCCCCGGAGGGCGGGAGGGATTTGGGGTTCGCCTCCCCGGAGGGCGGGAGGGATTTGGGGTTCGCCTCCCCGGAGGGCGGGAGGGGTTTGGGGCTCCCTCCCCGGAGGGCGGGAGAGGGTTTGGGGATCGCCTCCCCGGAGGGCGCAGGGGGTTTGGGGTTCGCCTTCCCGGAGGGCGGGAGGGGTTTGGGGTTCGCCTCCCCGGAGGGCGGGAGGGGTTTGGGGTTCGCCTCCCCGGAGGGCGGGAGGGGTTCGCGCCGGGACGCGCCGGGATGCGGCTCCGCCCTCGCCCGCCGGGCGGGAAGGAAGGGCTGGCCGGGGTTTGAACAATTCCATTCCGCGGCCTGAGCTTTTGAACGGACTGCCCGCCAGCGTTGTGACATCAGCTCCGTGGGTCACATCCGGCTTTCCTTTCTCTCAGTTGAAGAGGTGTCTCTCGGTGGAGATTCTTGGCTAAAAACTTGCCAAGGGCTCCCTTCACTGGCTTTCCGGGCCTTTGCAGACCCCCAGAAAGACTGACACTCCCGGACACTTCCAGGCTGTGCTTTATCTCCGTTTGGAAGTAGCCCTGTCCTGGATGCCCACATGCATGTACACGTTATTTCTGTAACAACTCTTCCAAACAACAAAAAACTAAGACATTGAAAGAATGCCCAGAAAATGACAAATACTACCCTTCCCTAAGACATACACATCCCCAGCGATGATCACGTCCAGTGTCCATCCCTGTGCTGCTGCTCGTCCAGGAAGAGCTGAAAAGAGCAGGGCGCACAGCCCACCGGGTTTTATTCCTTAAGCAGCTGTGATAAGAGGTCTGGACAAGCAGGGCCTCAGGATGAAATTTCTAGATAGCATTGCGGGAAATTCCAGTGCATATGGCACTTCCTGTTAACCCTTAGGGCCAGCTGGGCTGCGCCTTCCTCAGTCTGTGTGAGCCCCAGGCCAGGAGGCGGAGGCAGACCCTATTAACCCCATCCTCCCTGGGAACATTTCTCGCCCAACTGGCACAAGGGTGTGCTTTCTAGTGTATATTCACAGATGAAAGAGTTTCTTGGAAAATGGCCGATGGGATGTCGCTTGGGTTCATACACGTGTGTGCGTCAGGGAGGTGCCAAAAAGCAGAAAGAATGTCACAGCAGCACAATTTTTTAAAAATATATACATATATATATATATATATATATATTTTTTTTTTTTTTTTTTAACTGAGTTCAGCGAGGAAGGGAGAGGGAGAGGAATAGAAACATCAATGACGAGAATCATTGACCGGCTGCCCCCTGCACGCCCCACACTGGGGACCGACCTGGGCATGTGCCCTGATAGGGAATCTAACCGTGACCTCCTGGTTCATGGGCAGACGCTCAAACACGGAGCCACCCCAGCTGGGCACAGCACAACTGGCCACCACAGACAAGGTTTATTTCCACGGAGCTAAAAACGTAATCTGCCCAACAGGAAAGAGGTGTTAGGGCGAACGGGAAAACCCAGGAGGCAGGAAGTCAGGAGACTGGATTTCCCACCCTGCTGCTTCCTGGCGCAGCTTCTGCCCACCTGTGGCCTCTGCCACCCGGGCCGGGGCTGGCTTCCTCGTCTGAACAGTTTGGGGTGGCATGGTGTCCTCCCCGTGCTAGGAGTCCGTGATTCTTTTTTTTTAAATTTCTTTATTGATTAAGATATCACATATTTGTCCTCCACCCCCATTCCAATCCCCCCCTCCCCACTCAGCCCCCCCCCCCATTGTCCTTGACCACTGGTTAGGCTCATAGATGTGCATATAAGTCCTTTGGTTGATCTCCCCTTTACTCCCACCCTCCCTCTGAGGTCCAACAGTCTGACCCGTGGCTCCTTATCTCTGGGTCTGTTCTTGTTCATCCATCTATGTTGTTCACCATTTCCCCTAGGTGAGTGAGATCATGTCCTACTGGAAATACAAGAATCAAAACTGAGACAAGCAATAACCGTTATGCTGAAGGGCACATGCATCAGCCTGTAGTGAGCTTCTTTCTGGGCCACCTGTTCTTTGGGAGATTCTGAGAAAGCCAGGCGCCCTCTGAAGCCCTGCTCCACCCCAGGCAGCTGGGCAGGGGGACTTGCTGTCAGAAACCAGACAGTAACGTCCGGGCGGGCTCTGCTCTCTTCCAGCCCAGAAGTACGTGCCCAGGGCCGCCCTGGTGGACCTGGAGCCGGGCACCATGGACAGTGTGCGGTCGGGGCCGTTCGGGCAGCTCTTCCGGCCGGACAACTTCATCTTCGGTACGTCCCCGCTCTCCCGCGCTCTGCTTCTCTCCCAAACTCCAGATCTGACTGTGTGCGAGATTAAAGGCATCACGCGGCACAGGAAATGCGCAGACCAAACTGATCCCAGGCACCTCTTGTCATTCTTGACTTTTTTTTTGTTGTTGTATTTTTAAATGAAATGCTTATCTTGATAATTCTTCATTTAAAAAAAAAAAAAAATTTAGACATTAACTTTTCCCCCCTTCATAAGTTATTATAATATGGTAAAAATAACTTATCTTTGGTTCCTATATTGCTCATCTTTTAACGTCAATATATTTATGCCAATATTTCTCTTTTTTTAAAAAAATATATTTTATTGATTTTTTGTAGAGAGGAAGGGAAAAAGACAGAGAGCCAGAAACATCGATGAGAGAGAAATATTGACCAACTGCCTCCTGCACACCCTCCACTGGGGATGTGCCCGCAACCAATGTACATGCCCCTGACCGGTACCGAACCCGGGACCCCTCAGTCCGCAGACCGACACTCTACCGCTGAGCCAAACCGGTTTCGGCTATTGCTCATCTTTTAACATCAATACATTTATGCCAATATTTCTTACTCATTATCTATACACAGCTCTGCTTTCTTTCAAAAGACTGGGGCCATAGGAGTTTCGTTCTAGCAGAATGGGCAAATCCTCCCCTTCCTCCACCTAAGAACAAAACAAAACACACAGCAATAGTGCCCACTCTCTGTAAACTTCTAAAGAGAATTATATAAAATTAAATAAATTGTGCCTCGCTGGTTTGGCTTAGTGGAGAGAGTGTCGGGCTGCAGACTTACGAGTCCTGGGTTCGATTCTGATCAAGGGCACATGCCCTGGTTTCGGGCTCCATCCCCAGTAGGAGGTGCAGGAGGCAGCCAATCACTGATTCTCTCTCATCATTGATATTTCTATCTTTGTGTCCCTATAGGAGACTGAATATTGAATAAAAGTATATTTTACCATCCTCCATCACCCTGTAGCCATAGGTTTCAGAGTCAAAGCCACAGGGGGATGAACCATCTCCCATTCATAGACAATTCTGCGCTACAAGAGGACACAGAATCGGGAAGATTTTATCGGTATACGAATTAATGACCTTGTAGCAGAATCAGGCAGTGACTTGTTAGGAAGGAGATGGGTTTACAAAGACTTTACGTGTTCTCTGGGTATCTATCATCCACTTCTCTTCACCTGACAACCTACACAACTGATGGGACAGGTGAAGCTTCTAATAATAACTTGTTCAAAAGTTTTTCTTTCACCTTTAATATTTCAAATAGATCGGGACTCTGGTGCCCCTTTTCTTATATTAGAAAATCTAAATTGCCAATATCTTTATTGTTCACAAATGGGAACATTTATATTCTTTACCTTTCCCTGAGCTGGAGGCCATCATTGGCCTCAGGCACCCATGAACAGGACTCACACACAGAAACACAAAGGTTCACGTGTGACTCGGTGAACCCTGTTCCCATGGAAGTTGGGGAGAAAATAGGAAAAGAGCGTTCTGTGTGGTTTAAATTTAAGATGTCTCATTTATGTATGTTCTAGTGGGCTTCATGTAACATTGGAATGTTTCGTTTCTTAAAAGGAGTGGTTGGTAAGTAGGTAATCTCCATTACATTGCTCTTCATGGCCTTTTACACGCCCTCAGTCTGTCATCAGAAACGTCACGGGTGAGGAGGCTCTGGCACCCGTGGGTGCCCTTTCTGGGCAGGGACTCAGTGGACGCCAGAGGCCATGCGCCCTCCCTGCCTTCCCTCTCCCTCTCCCAGCCCCGCCGTCTGCTCAGGGTGAGGCCTCGCCCTCCGCACCCCTCCTGCACAGCCAGGGCATGGGTGGTCTCAGAGAGTCGAAACCGTGAACCAATCCTTTCGTCATTGAATGATCACAAACGGTGGAAGTCGTCGTGTGAAACTAGACTCTCAGGGCAGCAAACGTAGCAACTGTGGAAGTTTTCTTTGGTTTTATTTAATTGCACTGAATGTTAGAGTGTAAGAAAGTTTGATCTCATCCATCTAGGTGTCAATAAATGGGATCAAAATGTTTGAGAGCAAATTAAGATAGACCTATCATAACTATTATCTAAGTTACCTAGTTCGCTGTCCGTGTCACCTTTGAAACATGTTAGAAATGATGCTTGGCGTTGTCCCCGGGACTTTTTCCTGCGTCTTTGCTTCTTGCCAGAACATGCACGCCTGTCTTTGACTCGGAATATTTAAAATTTTTAACACATGGTACTGATGTGAAATAACGTTATTCCTTAGTAATTTTTTTAAATTAATGTTCTTTTTATTAAGAATTTTGAATGGTTTAAGTGAGTATGCTTACTTTGTTAAAACTGCACATCTGTTTGGTGGAAGGGAGGGGCGTCCAGAATGTAGGAACAGACTGTATTGTTTGGCTGAGCAGTTGTTCCCAGATATTAAAAGAGGCAGAATTGTCTCTGAGTGGAAGATGGTTCATCCCCCTGTGGCTTTCCAGCTCTTTGTCTCTGAGGCGGCAAATTAAAACAAGCCAGCGTCAGTCCATTTTCAAATATAGTTTGAAATGTTTTCTTTCTAAAAAATAGACTTGAAGTGTGTATAATCCTAAAAGTGAAAATGATCTGCAGCCGAAACTGGTTTGGCTCAGTGGTAGAGCGTCGGTCTGCGGACTGAAGGGTCCCAGGTTCGATTCCGGTCAAGGGCATGTACATTGGTTGCAGGCACATCCCGGGTAGGGGGTGTGCAAGAGGCAGCTGGTCGATGTTTCTCTCTCATCGACGTTTCTAGCTCTCTATCCCTCTCCCTTCCTCTCTGTAGAAAAATCAATAAAACATATTTTAAAAAAGAAAAGAAAAAGAAAATGATCTGCATTTGAGTTTTAAACAAGAAAATACTTGAAAAACAAAACAAAAAAAAAACCTTCTTCCCCAATGAATTGCTGGCTGCACAGCCATCATGCCTGTTAGATAGCAGGAGACAGCCTTGTGGGAGAAAATGAAACACCGGAGAGAAAAACTTTCCTTTAAGCCTCTTTCTGCACGGGCACTATTTTCTCCAAATGTTAGTGCTGGGAGACGGTCAGAGAGCACACACACAGCTCCCAGGGTGAGCTCTGGCAGCACACCCGCGGGCGGACTCCCACACCACCCCGGGGATCTGCTGCAACCCCTCTGCCAAGCTTCGAGATTGCAGCCTTGCGTTCCGCACTCTGAGCCACTGATTAATGTCACAACATCGCATTACAGAAGACGTTCAACTCATGACCCCCAAATATTTAACTGGGAACGTCCGTTGCTATGAGACCGGGGCAAAATATTTTCAGAAGTCACCAGCTTCCTCCCTTTGACACGAGCAGAGAAAACCTTGTCATGTTATAAACACCGAGGGAGCCAAGTGCGTGGTGTGAGCTGAAGGCAGAGAAAGGTCCAGTCCAGAACCTCCGCACTGACCCCTCGGGCAAGCTTGGCTCACTGTGGCTGCATGGCTGCCTACAGCCACCTGCTGCTTTCCATTTCCTAGTTTCTCCTCCAGTTTAAGGAAACAATTCCTGTCTCTTTGTAACAGTTGCATTCAGTCTTTCCTTTTACAGGTGTGAGCCCCAGGCACAAGGCTGGCCCTGAGCAGAAGGCTGCCCCCCAGCGCCTCTGCTGTGGTCCTGCCGGGCTGCCGGCTGCCGGCTGCTGGGCTGGGTGGGGAGGGGGTGGACAGGAGTCAGTAGGGGCATAGGAAGGACAATGATCATTTTTGACCCTAGGAAGAGTAGGCAGCCAAGTTTCACTGTGCGACCCAACTGGGCGGGAAGAAAGAGAAGTGAGAGAACAGTCACCTCCTGGCCAAGGTGATGACCACCTGAGGGGCTGAGGGGTCAGTGCCCGCAGGGTCTGAGGCAGGCACGGAGGGAATGTTTCTATAGGTGATCATTAGATAGACAGTTTCTGCAATTCACTTTGAGCCACAGGTCCTGTCATGCCAATAGCCTGGGTGCCTTTGACTAGCCAAATGGGGCAAAGAAGACAGGAGTGAGGCGGGCCTCGCTGGGGAGGTGGGGCCGGGACAGGCAGCACAGCCATGGTTTCAGACGGGCGGTCCGCCCTCCTGAAACCTCACTCTTTAATTGTAAACATATTTAATGTTTTCATTACAAAGTTAAACTGTTTCCACATGGTTTTTTTGTGGGTTGTTTTTTTTTTTCCTCCTTTAAATATATTTTTATTGATTTCAGAGAGGAAGGGAGAGGGAGAAAGAGGCAGAAACATCAATGATGGGAGAGAATCATTGATCAGTCGATAATTCTCTGTGCACGCCCCACACTGAGGATCGAGCCTGCAACTAGAGCATATATGGCCTGACCGGGAATTGAACTGTGACCTCCAGGTTCATAGGTCAACGCTCAGCCACTGAGCCATGTCGGCCGGTCTCCACGTGTATTTTTTCAAACAGTAAGCCAGTACATAGTGTAAACACAGAAACCCCCATCCTTCCACTGATGGCCCCTGAGATTTTCGTCCCTGAGGACAACGGAATGCTGTAGACAGTGGAGGAGTGTCCTGCCTGACCTTTTCCATGTACACATGTACCCACGACCTTACAGGCACACACATACACACACACACACAGTTGGTTTTGTTTTTTGAAAATGGGGTCATGCTACACATACTATTTTATGGCTTTTTGGAAAAAGTTCACTAACATCTCCCATGAGGGTCACTGCCGATCCGTCGTTAGGTAATTCCCCACTTATTGGTGACACTTTAGAATCTTCCTTAAAGGCAGGTTTCCATACTTTTGATGAACATAAAACACACGTATGCTTAACTAAATTTTTATAAGCAATATATAATGTTGAAACTGAACTGCCTATAACCCCTTCCTCTAGAAACCATCATTTATTAGCTCAGTGTGTGTTTCTCCAATTTCTTTCCAAAATGCAATTTTAAATGTTTCAATGAAGCTAAGAACATTCCCTTTGGCTAGGTAGCCAGGTGAAAGATGGGCATGGTCCGGGGGAGGCAACAGGAACCACAGGCTGTACGGTGAGAGCTGGGCCCTCTCCTGCCCGCGCTGGTGCCGGGCCCCTCCCAGAGCCAGCCACACTCCGACGCGGGTGTGTCCTCTCAGTGCACATCCCAGCAGGAACCTGTCTGTTACATACAGACGTCGATCGTCAACTATATGCCCCGTGTAGGACTCTGGGTTTTTCCCCACTTAGAATATACTTAAGAAAGTTTCCCCATCTCAGTCCCAGGCTGATGGCTGATAGTCTTTGCATAGGTGCTAGCCTCTTTTAAAAGACACTCCGGTTGCTTCCCTTTTTCTTTCCTATTGCAAACTGCTCTTCAGGAAATAGTGTCTCTGGGGCATTTTGCGCACGCGGGTCTGTCTATCTGGGAAAATCGGTAGACCTAGAATTGCTGGGTCCCAGGGGGCTGATGTTACAGGTGTGGCTCCATTGTTCTCCAAAGAGTCTCGTTTTCTTCAGCCTCCAGCTGCTGCCCCGTATGAAGGGGCCTTTCCCAAACCCTCGCTCACCGGCGTTCCCGAATTTCTCCCCTCTGTTCATTCCACAGGGGAAAAACCGAATCTTGGTGTTTTAATTTGCATTTCCCTTATGGAGAATATGTCAAATGCTTGTCATCTCCATTTCCTTCTCTGTGAGCTGTCTGTTTACATCCTTTGCCCATTTCTCTAAAGGCGGTTGTTTTCCTTGCTGATTTGTAAGGCTTTGCATATGCAAGGAAGGTATCCCTTTGTTTGTGATATGTCACTAATAGTCCGTTTTAAAATTGCTGAAGAATCACAGGATTAGGCTTGTTTTCTCTTGTTTTAGACTTCCAGGGACGCCACAGTGCTTAGCACTGATAAATGCTATGGAAGCTATACGGGCACTTCAGACGACTCATTCGCCTCGATGAAGGCCTTGAGATCAGAATCCCGGGGTGCTGGTCAGCAGACCTCAGTGTGAGGGGCCCCCTTCCACCAAAGTGCATGAGAGCCTCTCAGCTGATGCAGCACCAGGCAGGTCTCAAGGGGGAGCCTTAGTGGGGTCACTGCTGCCTGCCTCAGTTTCCCTTGTGGTGTGCAGCATCTGGCATGGACCCACCCATACAGAGCAGGTGTTCAGGCTATCGTGAATTCTTGCCTCCAGCTGGGTGTAGGCAAAATTCAAGTTAACTTCTGGAGAGTAAGTGGATATTACCTGGTCGAAACATATGTCCATCTTAAAAGTTAATGAGGGTGCCCAGCCGGCATGGCTCCGTGGTTGAGTGTCTATCTATGAACCAGGAGGTCACTGTTCAATTCCCGGTGCCCGGGTTGTGGGCTCAGTCCCCAGTGTAGGGTGTGCAGGAAGCAGCCAATCCATGATTCTCTCTCATCATAGATGTTTCTGTCTTTCCCTCTCTCCCTCTCCCTTCATCTCTGAAATCAATAAAAATATATTTTTTAAAAATTGATGAGTATTTAACTTGCCTAAAGAGGTACTAATACGTGTACTCACCAGCAGTCTTGGTGGTGCCTGTTTACCCACTCACTGATACTGATACATTTTAAATGGTGATGGGAAAGATGTATTACCGATTAGATAATATGATAATATGTTGTTATCTAATCGGTAATACATCTTTTCCATCACCATTTAAAATGTATCAATATCAATGAGTGGGTCTTATGGTCTTGCCCTATTTATTATATTTCTTTTTATCCTCACCCAAGGAAATGCTTATCAATTTGAGGGAAACAATGATGTGAGAGAGAAACATCCATCAGTTGCCTCCCTTATGTGCCCCCAAATGGGGATCAAACCCACAACCTAGGTATGTGCCCTGACTGGGAATCGAACCTGCAACCTTTCAGTATCTGGGAGGATGAGCCAACACCAACTGAGCCACACCAGTCCGGGCTGTCTCGCCCTGTCTAAACGGTATGCTACTCTTTTGCTTATTCCAGGACAAACTGGTGCCGGCAACAACTGGGCGAAGGGGCATTACACGGAAGGAGCGGAGCTGGTGGACTCGGTGCTCGACGTGGTGAGGAAGGAGTGCGAGCACTGCGACTGCCTGCAGGGCTTCCAGCTGACCCACTCGCTGGGCGGGGGCACGGGGTCCGGCATGGGCACGCTGCTCATCAGCAAGATCCGAGAGGAGTACCCCGACCGCATCATGAACACCTTCAGCGTGATGCCCTCGCCCAAGGTGTCGGACACGGTGGTGGAGCCCTACAACGCCACGCTGTCCGTGCACCAGCTGGTGGAGAACACGGACGAGACCTACTGCATCGACAACGAGGCCCTGTACGACATCTGCTTCCGCACCCTCAAGCTGACCACGCCCACCTACGGGGACCTCAACCACCTGGTGTCGGCCACCATGAGCGGGGTCACCACCTCGCTGCGCTTCCCGGGCCAGCTCAACGCCGACCTGCGCAAGCTGGCCGTGAACATGGTGCCCTTCCCGCGCCTGCACTTCTTCATGCCCGGCTTCGCCCCGCTGACGGCCAGGGGCAGCCAGCAGTACCGGGCCCTGACGGTGCCCGAGCTGACTCAGCAGATGTTCGACGCCAAGAACATGATGGCGGCCTGTGACCCGCGCCACGGCCGCTACCTGACCGTGGCCACCGTCTTCCGGGGCCCCATGTCCATGAAGGAGGTGGACGAGCAGATGCTGGCCATCCAGAACAAGAACAGCAGCTACTTCGTGGAGTGGATCCCCAACAACGTCAAGGTGGCCGTGTGCGACATCCCGCCGCGGGGCCTCAAGATGGCCTCCACCTTCATCGGCAACAGCACGGCCATCCAGGAGCTGTTCAAGCGCATCTCCGAGCAGTTTTCCGCCATGTTCCGCCGCAAGGCCTTCCTGCACTGGTTCACGGGCGAGGGCATGGATGAGATGGAGTTCACCGAGGCCGAGAGCAACATGAACGACCTGGTGTCTGAGTACCAGCAGTACCAGGAAGCCACGGCCAACGACGGTGAGGAAGCGTTTGAAGACGACGAAGAGGAGATCAACGAGTAGAGACGCGTCCCTGTCTCAGTTCAGACTTCCTTGCTTTAACTCGGATGTGTCTTAGCTCCATTGGCTGTTCAGTGATGCACTGGTCTAGATACATATGGGTGCAGGCCCTTCCCAAAGGCAATGAAATCGTCCTCTCAGTCATCCGCAACAAAGGAAGTTCATTTGAATGGCAGAGAAGTGGCAGTCCTCCCCAATCAGATCAGACGAGGGACATTTCCTACTAGAGGACTTTAAAAGAATGAGTGGGCCATTAGTCAAGGGCTAAGTGAATAAACCTCACCTTCTATTAAAAGCGTTCAACCATGTCTGAGGATCAGCAGGGAAGTTAGAAACGGTATTATTTTTTTAATCCTTTGTGAAACAAAGCTGTGCCGTGTTGCCTTATCTTGAATATGCAATATTGAACCTTGGTAACAGTTTATTCGTAATAAAACACTAAAACTGTTCCTTCGTCTCTCCCGGCCTTTGCTTATGTGATAGATTTGTCACCATGCATCCTTAGGAGGGTTGCTCAGATCTCTAGTCCGACCTGGGTGGCCTGCCCCTGCAGCTCACGGGAAGGAAAGAGGCTTTTCTTGAATTGCAGGCTTTGCCGGCGAGAGCCAGGATCCTGAGCCCCGTGTGCAACAGCATGTAGACCTCCCTCAGGACTTCCCCTCCCTGGGCCAGCGGGTCCCAGCCTTCCCTGACAACTGCGCGGAGGTTTGCCAGAGGAGCCACCGCCAGCTGGTGGGTGAGGGGCACCGGGTAGTTGGGCTCTCAGAGAAGGAACCTGGGCCAGCAGCCTGGCCCAGCACAGCGGGTGAAGGCTCTTGTCTGGGTAACGAACGATCCCTTTCTGGTTCCTGTAAACTAGCCACTTCTCAAACAGGTCTTGTCAAGTCAAATTCCGCACGACAGGGCCAGGCTAGTTTTACTGGTAATTGGCCAGCACTGCCCAATTCGTTAGCAGTGAACGAATGATTCTGCTTTAGCCAAAAGAACGCGGTGGTGTGCCACTTCCAGGTGGAACCAAATGTTCGTGTTTGGCCCTCTGCTCCGATTCCTCCTGTGAAGGTCACCCAGCGTCTCCATCGGTGACTGTGGAGCAGCCTCCTGGCCTTTGTTGGACAAGAAGGAAGAGAAGTGAGTCTTTGCCATTCGGATCCACTGAGATCGGGGGCCACCTCAGTGACCTGGTGCTGTGAGGCATGGCTCACACCCACCAACTGCATTTATTTGTGGTAAGCCCTAGCCTTTAAGGGTCTTTGTTGTTAACCCTGACCCAAAGATTTACTGCCATTGATTTTTTTAGAGAGAGAGGGAGAGACAGAGAGGAAAAACATCCATGCGACAGAGATACATGCCCTTGACCGGAATTGAAGCCGGGATCCTTCAGACCATGGGCCAACACTATCCATTGAGCCAAATGGCCAGGGCAACCCTAGCCTTTTTTTAAAAAGCATTATTTTTAGAGAGGGATAGAAAACATTGATGAGATATATCCTGCATGCCCCCCACTGGGGATCCAGCTCAAAACCCAGGTATGTGCCCTGACCCAAATCAAAATCAGTGACCTCTTGGTTCATGGGTCAATGCTAGACCACTGAGCAACAGCGGCAAGCAGACTGACAGGTAGACAGCAGGACTTGAACTGAGTTAAGAACAGGTCTTCTTTGGAGAAGTCTGAACTATTTTGTGAGACTACAGTAAACATATACCTTACTATTCCCGTCTAACCTGGAAATATGCTAAGGTTTGATTTCCTCCGAGCACCTGCTGTGGGCAGGCCCCTATGGCCGAGTCTTACAGCCTTAAAAGTCTTCACTCAGCTGCTTCCCAAGCATCGCCTGGGAAAGAAGGCCGTCAGTGTGACTTCTCAGTCACTGCCGGAGCCACCTCCCATCCCATCAGCCCAGTGCTGCTCCAGATGCCACTGATTCTGTCTCAAGTCTGAGAAGTCACTATTCCCTCAACATACTTAACTGCATCACAGATACACAAGGCAAGTGGAACATTAAAGGAAGCTGCTAAAAATATGCATTCATAAATGCAAAAATGTATGGGACTTCCAAATCCAATAGTGGCTTTGTAAGGTTTAATCCATCTACCTTTGCAGCACTGCAAACCTCCACTTTTCTGGAGCCACACACACTCTCTAATAGTAAGTCATGGGAGACCAGGGCACAGGGCCTCTCCAGCTTAATGTCAGTGCCCTTCTCTGAAGTCCAGGTGATGGCTTGGCACAGCCTGCCACACCTGCTATGAGACACCGACTCCCAGTCCCAGTGTGACCAACATGTGGCCATGACTGGTCATGTAAGGGTGTAAATCAGATTCTCGCCGGCTGAGCTGGTGTCCGAGTTCATCATTCCAGGACACACAAACCTAGAAGCTCCTCATCCTTGTGTGGGAGCAGATGAGAACCAGAGACTAAAAGTATCCCAAGCACAAACAGTGGCCCTGTGTGTGGTCAGGAGAAAAAAGTAAAATGTTTACACTTTATTTCTGATGTAAAGAAGCTGTATTTACATAATACATTCATATTTTTTTACTATGTTACAGCTCTCTGTAGAAAATCATTCCAGTAAAACAGCAACATGTGGTCTGGATCCCATCTTCAAAGTATTAGTCAAATTTAAATATTCGTATCAGGAATTCAATTTAATTTCACAGCCTCTGAAGGGAAATGGGAATGAAGGGTGGGGCGATGGAAAGTGAAATACAGGCCTCCCCCACGCTGGCAAGCTTTCCGAGTCTCTCCCTGACGTGTTCTGCTGGCTTCCCTGATGGTGAGCGGGGCCAGTGCCGGGCACCGAGCTCCGCTCTCCAGCCGCTGTCCAAGAGCCCGGGGCCTGGGGAGATCACCCCGCACCCCTCTGGGACTGCTGAAGCTGAGGATTAAGTACTCCTCTCCCCACCACTTCGACTGGTCAGCAGCTGGTTAAGATCAACTTAGCAGTGTTCTCATTCTTCTGAGAAAGCCAGAGTTGAAATAACGTGCAAATTGAACCCACAACACAAGCTAAAACGGCCTCCCTCCTCGGATCTGATTGGCGATTTTCTCCTCTGGGGACACTTCCTTTTCCTTCTCCTTCTCTCGGTCTTTGTTCCAGTCCTTCAGGCCCTCTGGAAGTGAAGTGTCCTCATCCAAGCTGCCAGTGCCTTCCACAAATTCTTCATAGGTAGATTTTTCCGCAAATGGTCTGGGGCCCAAAAGTTCAACCATATCATTTTTATCTAATACTTCTTTTTCTAATAATAGAAGAGCAACCTGAAATATGAACAATATAGTTACTCAACATTTCTAGACAATCTCACCCCAAAAAGGGTTTAAGAACCACTGAAAAAGATACATATAAGGTCACATAATTTTGAAGTAAGGTATGTAAAATACTATAAAAACAAATGTCCAGCAGTAAGGGCATGGCTAAATACATTTGGTATATCCACACAATGAAAACTGAGATGCATAATGTCTGTAGTTTACAATATTTGCTTTTTAAAAGAGGGAAAATACATCTTTCATTGATGAATCACCTTCTATTTTTATTTTTTAACTAGAGGCCTGGTGCACAAAATTCGTGCGGGGGGGGGGGGAAAGGAGGGGCGGGCGGGCGTCGATCTGGGACTTCTCAAGACATGTCCCCCTCACAATCCAGGACAGCTGGTTCCCAACCACTCCCCTACCAGCCTGATCACCTAACTGCTCTCCTGCAGGCCCAATTGCCCCTAAACTGCCCTCCCCTGCTGGCCTGGTCATCCCTAACTGCCCTCCCTTGCCAGCCTGGTCACCCCCAACTGCCCTCTCCTGACGGCCTGCTCGCTAGCAACTACCCTCCCCAGCAGGCCTGGTCACATCATATATTTTTGTTTACATCTTTAAGAGATAAAATCTCTTTAAAAAACAACCAGAATACTAAAATGATCTAATTTATTAATATATTGTTTGTGTATAGAAGATTTGAAGAAATAAAAGCTTTAGGATTTCTTCTTAGATCATCTTTAGTTTTCAAATTTATCTATTTACAGTTATGAGAAACCACTTAAGTTGTGATATTTTATTTAACCAAATATGTAAAAACACTGTCATTTCAACATGTAATCATTTTAAGAACTGATATGTTGTACATTCTTTTGTTCAAAGTCTTCAAAACCAGTGTGGATTTTATGCTCACAGTCCATCTCAACCCAGATCAGTCACACTGACGGCACAGGCTTGGTTAGGAGTTAATGGCAAGGGCTCTGCAGACTGGACATCTGGGTCCGAATCCTGGTCCTGCCATTTACCACTACCTCCCTGATGATCTTAAGCAAAGTTAAGCTACAATGTTTCTTTTGTTTCTTTATGTATTAGTGTCTTCATTTGTAAAATGGGGATAATAATATAGTTACTTCATGAGGTTACAGGAGGTTTTAGACAAGTTAGGCTGTACCTGGTATATATATGATACTAAACTAAGTGAATGCTAGCTGATTATCTTTATTCTCCTAAATCTTGGCCCTTAGATGGGTAAACTGAGGTCCAGTATTTGAAGGCATTTGCTGTAGTAGCAAAGGCTCCAGCCACTTCCCCTTTTGATGGCTCCTGGCTGGCTCTACATTATTCTTAATGGACTTAATTTTCTGATGGACCAGGCAGAATTTCAGAGCTCTACGGTGTTTCAAGATCTGAGGATTACTTTTCCCTTCACAAACAGTTACTTCTTTGTTACCACTGTCAGTACACAAACTGCACATGTGGAAGGGTAAATAACTGAGTATAATTCTCTGGACCCATTTGAGCATCTATGGTGGGCCTGTGGAATCCCCGAGCTGGTCATCTCATTTCGGTGAGCACTTCTGCTCTCTATTGTCTTTTACAGCTCAGTTTTTTAACAATTGGCTGTAGGGGAATAAACAATAAATCCTTTGTCTGGTCTGGACCTCCTATCCATATATCACTTGCAAATGCCTACTGCTCAATTCCTCTTGGATGTCAAGGCTGAATCTTTCCCCCGTTCCCACCCAGGCTGTACTTGCCAGTAGGAGGAGCCCTGGAGTCATTCCAAGGGCTTCCCTCCCATCCACTCTCCCTCTACTTAATAAATCTTAACTTTAATCAGCAACTCTTGGTGTTTTAGATGTCACCACCAGCACCGTCTCAGGAATGTTACACATGCCTGCAACAGCTCTGAGCTGGTCTCTGTTCTAGTCTCTTCCATCCCACTGCTTCCACACTCTCCTTTTAAGTGATGAACTTGAATCATTTCTACTTAAGATTCTTTAAGGACTCCCTCCCATAAAACAAGGTGGTTAGATTAGACCATTTTGAAAGTCTCTTTTATGCCCAAATGCCTAAATTTATGTTTCTTAATTTTCAACCTGGCTTTTGAGGACCTGGGTACTGTAGTCTCCCTTCCCCCCATTATCTGCTCCAAGCAGGCCGGCTCCATCCTGCCTCCCTCCCCATTCCCTTCTCTGCTCAGCAGGCCTCCGTGCTGAGCTCCTTTCCCATTGGCCAGAATCTGACTATCCACTTTTGCTTATCAACGTATTCCCACCATCTCAGAAGCAAAAGACACACAGAAACATCAGAATAAAAGAAGGAACCCAAGAGTTAGCCAGATACGAGAAATGCTGACTTCAATAAGCCCACCAAGAGTCAATATCACTTTGAACGTTTCCTGCAAAACCGTGTTTAGAATTATTTGTACAATTGGCACCTACCTTCTCTACATCAGCTTTCTTTTCTGTGAGAAGAGTTACTGTTCTTTTATAAGCTTCGTTAATAAGTATTCGTACTTCGTCATCTATCAGTCTTGCTGTGGCTTCACTATAAGGTTTCTCTAATACCATGTCACCCTGACGTGGAAGGTCAAAGGAGATTTGCCCAACCTTTTCATTCATGCCAAACTGAACAATCTGAAAAAGAATACATGATTAGTGGTGGACATCCATTTTTGCTGACAGGCTAACATATTTTCATAAAATACCTATAAGTATTTAGAATTAACTCCACACATTTCATTGTGATCTACTATTTTTTTTTAATATATTTTATTGATTTTTTATAGAGAGGAAGAGAGAGGGATAGAGAGCTAGAAATGTCAATGAGAGAGAAACATCGACCAGCTGCCCCTTGCACACCCCCTACCGGGGATGCCCCTGACCGGAATCGAACCTGGGACCCTTCAGTTCACAGACCGACGCTCTACCACTGAGCCAAACCGGTTTCGGCATGATCTACTCTTTAACCTGACAAAATCTACCTGGAGCCTGAAGTGGGCTGAAGGTTCTGTGTGCAGTGGCAGCAATGACTAGTGCTTTAAATTCCTCAGTAAGGAGACCAGACCAGAAGCCCATAAACAACAACCTACAAGAAAGTCAGGTGAGAAACAGGAGGGGACAAATCCCAAAGCTGTAAGACCTGCATGATCCTCTCTGAAAGAAGGGAAGTAGAAAAGAAGCTTCTGACAGACCTGAGAGGATAAGAACCCCAAACCCTCCAGGTTCTCCCTGCAAAGAGCGTCATGTCAACCTGAGAACCACTGGCCCAGAAAGGGCACTGCACTTCCCGGCCCCTGAGCCACAGGGCAGGAGACTGTGTGAAGTGGTGGGTCCAGTCTGGGCCATAAGGGCCCCAAAGCTAACAAGCAGCAGCCCCACGTTAAGCAGCAGCTTCGGGATGATTAACAAGACAAGTAACAACAAGTATTGGAGAGGCTGTGGAGGAAGCCGCATTCACTTCTGGTGGAAATGTAAATGTACAGCCGTATGGAAAATAGCATGGAACTCCCTCTTCTGGACATCTACCCAAAAAATGTAAAGCATTTATTCACAAAGATAGATGTGCCCCTACGTTCACTGCAGCATTACTCACAGTGGCCAAGAAATGGAGTCAAAGTGTAAAGAGGACTGGTAAAGAAGATGCGGTACATGCATGCAATGGAAGACTACTCAGCCATTAGATGAAATACTGCCATTTGCAACAGCATGGATGGGCCTTGAGAATGTTATGCTAAGCAAAATAAGTCAGAAAAAGCTATGAACCATATGATTTCACTGGTGTGTGCGATATAAAATTGGAACTCAGATACAGACAATAGTTTGGTGGTTAGGGGAGAGTCAGACAGAGTAAAATATATGGTAATGGAAAAAGATTGGTCTTTCGGAGGTAGGAACACAATGCAATATACAAATAATGTACCACAGAAATGTACACGTGAAACCTCTATGATCCTAGAAACCAAAGTCACCCCAAGAGATTTAAATTTAAAAAAGAAAAAAGCGGCAGCTTCTGGAAGTAAAATCCAAACTGGCTAGAAAAGGGAAGGCCCAGATAAAAGTGAGGAGCAGGAACTGAGCCAGGAGGACTCCGAAAATAATGGGCCATGTTTTTTAGTGCATGTGTTGCTGAAGCAAGCACAGTAGGCCATGTTTTTTAAAACTTCATGAACACAGCCGGGACCGGTTTGGCTCAATGGATAGAGCGTCGGCTTGGGGACTGAAGGGTCCCGGGTTCGATTCCGGTCAAGGGCATGTACCTTGGTTGTGGGCACATCCCCAGTAGAAGGTGTGCAAGAGGCAGCTGATCAATGACTCTCTCTCATCGATGTTTCTAACTCTCTCTCTCCCTTCCTTTCTGTAAAAAATCAATAAAATATATTTAAAAAAAAAAAACTTCATGAACACATCAGAAAAGGGAATTCTAAAGCTATCAAAATAGCAAAGCTAGCTGTCCTAATCTTCCTCCTTCCTAAGAGGCCAGGAAAATAAATTTAATGTAAAAATGAACAATAGGAAAATCCCTTATGAAGTTATTCTGAAAAGAAAAAAAAAGCAGCAGAATAATGTCTCCATAGATAAGAAAAGCAAGATGGAAAGACGTCCATAAAACAGATGAAAGCTATAGCCTCGACTCCAGAAAAGGCTAAAGGAAATCAGAAAAATAATAGGAAATGTAGAATAGCATAAATCAGGATCAGAAAAGCTCAGATGAAGTTCTAGAACAAAGGAAAAAGATATAAAAGTCAAATTATTATTTTTTAAAAATATATTTTATTGATTTTTTACAGAGAGGAAGAGAGGGATAGAGTTAGAAACATCGATGAGAGAGAATCATTGGTCAGCTGCCTCTTGCATGCCCCCTACTGGGGATGTGCCCGCAATCAAGATACATGCCCTTGACCGGAATCGAACCCAGGACCCTTCAGTCCACAGGTCAATGCTCTATCCACTGAGACAAACCGGTTTCAGCAAGACAAATTATTTTTAAAATAAAGATTAAGCCGGAAACAACATGAGCAAACAAATACAACAAATAATGTCCTAAGAAATAGAAAGTAAAGACAATAGGGGAAAAAATTATATGCATCATTAAAAGGATTTGAGAAAGTGACAGATCCAGAAGAGCTGACATATGAGAAACAGGAGTGCCCCCAAAAAGTCATTTCTTTTCATAAGTTCTGGTTGCTTTACAATGGATTTCTTTTAAGTAATAATTAAGAAAGAAGAAATAATCTTGGCCTATGAAGCCTAAACCAGTCAAACTCATTGTTACTGTTTCAGAGCCATTCATGACTAATTCTCATGCAAACGTGAGATGAGGAAGCAGCACTCCATTTCATACTTACTTGGGCATATGCACTCTGAGTCACTTTTTTCAGGTCATCTTGAGCACCAGTTGTAATTCTTCCAAAGAAGATTTCTTCCGACACCCGGCCACCCAGAGTCATGCACATCCTGTCCAAGAGCTGCTCTTTGGTGTACAGGTACTGCTCTCTGGGTAAATACTGAGCGTAACCCAGGCCTTTGCCCCTTGGGATGATAGACACCTGACAAATACAAAACATAACACTGCTGGGGATTCCACCACCAAATGTAGAATTGATCACAGCATTTACAGATAAACTCACTTATGAGAAAAAAAAAAAAAAAAAGCATAGCAGTTGGGCAATCCATCAGCTTTGGCTAAATGAGATGGAGCAGGAGTGACTATGCAGAAGTATTTGCTCTTAAGATAGATAACTTCACCTTAAGAGTCCTAGAAATTGTCTTTTTGTAAACTCAATTGAAATAACTCAGTCTTAAAAAAAGGCTGCTGGCATGTGGTCACTCCTGAGAGCCTGAATACAGTGAAGGCTCCACTCACCTTGACCGTGAACGATGGCCACGCTCTTGTACAGGAGGCAGGTATGGCTGGCCAAGGCACTCAGCAGCTTTCATTTTCTTTTCTAGTCCTCTTTTTGCAATTGAGTAAATTCCTTTAATTTTCAAAAGTCCCACTTTATTAAGGGATGATTTACATGTAAAAACGCACCCATTCAAAGTATAGTTCAATGGGTGTGTTTTTCCCCAATTTTGGAAGCACTTTTACTTATTTTTCTTTTTAAAATATTTTTATTGATTTCAGAGAGGAAGGGAGAATGAGATAGAAATATCAATGATGAGAGAGAATCATTGATTGGCTGGCTCCTGCATGCCCCACACTGGGGATTGAGTCCGAAATCTGGGCATGTACCCTTAACCGAAATTGATCCTGGGACCCTTCAATCAGAAGGCCTATACTCTATCCACTGAGCCAAATCAGCTAGGGCAACTTTTTTTTTTTTTTTAAATATACTTTATTGATTTTTTACAGAGAAGAGAGAGGGATAGAGAGCCAGAAATGTCGATGAGAAAGAAACATCGACCAGCTGCCTCTTGCACACCCCCTACATCGGATGTGCCCGCATATGTACATGCTCCTGACCAGAATCAAATCTGGGACCTTTCAGTCCGCAGACCAACGCTCTACCTCTGCCAAACAGGTTTCGGCTAGGGCAACTTTTACTTACTTTAAACAACTCTTCAGTTTTTGAAAAATTTGGGTGGCTCTTTCTAATTACACCTGAATACTGACATATAAAACATGAATTCTAAGGCCTGGAGAGAACACATCAGAACACATCAAAACTGATGGAGCTGCTTATTTAGAGATCTGAGTTAATAGCATGCAGTTGTGCAAAAACTTGCTCTTGAGTCAATTTCTAAGATCAATGAGTCTTGACAAACTTAACCTCTTACCACAATGAAGGTACAAAATACTCTTCATTCTCCCAATTTCCCGTGCCCCTCTGTATTCAACCCTTCCCCCACTCCCAGGCAACTGCACATATGCTTTCAGTACCTATGGATTAGTTACAATTTCTAGAATTGCGTATCAATGGCAGCATAAAGTATGTGCTTCACTGTGTCTGGTTTCTGCTTCTGAGATTCATTTTTACTGCTGTGTAGCACTACATTGTCTAATCATACCAAATATACATTTCATTCTTGAACATCAGGGTTGTTTCCAGTTTATTGCTATTATGAATAAAGCGGTGTAAGTCTTTGTGTGGACATTATGTTTTAATTTCTCTTGGGTAAATATGATCATATGGAAGCATTTATAAGAAACTGCCACACTGTTTCCCAAAATGACAGTACCATTTCACATTTCCATCAGCAGCATATGAGAGTTCTTGTTGCTCCACCTTCCTGCCAATCCTTTAGGACGGGCTTTAAAATTTTAACCACCTGGTATTTCCTGGAGGTTTGATTTGCACTTCCCTGATGATTAAGGATATTGAGTACCTTAAGGTGCTAATGTCTATTCATATACTACCTTTTGTGAAGTATATGCTCAAATCTTTTGCACAATTTATTAGGTTGCTTGTTTTATTATTGAGTTGGTATTTTTTTAATCCTCACCTAAGGATATGTTTATTAATGTTAGAAAGGAAGAGAAAAAGAGACAGAAAAAGAAATATTGTTAAGTTGCTTCCTGCATGTGCCCCTACAGGGGATCAAACCCACAACCTAGGTCTGTGCCCTGACTGGGAATCAAATTCACAACCTTTTGGTGTATAGGACAATGTTCCAACCAACTGAGCCAGCCAGCCAAGGCATTATTATTGACTTTTAAGAGGTTTGTTGTTTTTTAACATATTCTAGATACAATTCCTTTTTCGTGTGTGTACTATCAAGTACTTTCAGAGTGTGTAGCTTGCCTTTCATTTTCTTAATGGTATCTTTCAAAGAACAAGTTCTTAAGTTTGATGAGATTCCATTTATCAACTGTTTTTGTGGTTCATGATTTTGTATCCTATGAAATTTCTGACTACCCAAAGTTACAAAGATTTTTTTCCTAACTTTTTTCCCTAGAAGTTTTATAGTTTTAGTTTTATTATCTATTTCAAATTATTTTCTTACATATGATGTAAGGGTCGTTTACTTTCTTTCATAAACACTGAGCTGCTAGAATCATTTGTTGGCAAGACAATCCTTCCCAACTTCAATAAACTAGGTATCTCTGTTTTAAATCAATGAACCTACTATGTAGGATGGTCTATTTCTGGACTCTATTCCATCTCACTGATCTATGTGTTAAATTTTCTCATCAATACTAGTCTTCATTGCTGTAGCTGTATACAAAGTCTAAAGTCAGTGATTGTAATCCCTTCAACTTAATTGTTCTATTTTAGCTTATACCTGCAATTCCATACAAATTCCTATCCTGTACTTTGATAAATTTATCCCTATGTATTACATGAAATAAATTTTTTTAATTTCATCTTTCAATTATTCATTGCTAATACCAGAAATACATTTGAACTTTGTATATGGAACTTAAATTCTGCAGCCATAACTCCACTTATTAGTTCTAGCGACTTCTTTTAGATTGTTTAGGATGTTTTGTGTACACTTTAATGTTGTCTTCTCTGTGGTTGTCTTGTTTCAGGGACTCTCTCCCACTCAATTTCCAGCTGTCCCAACACAGGAAGTCAGCTGCGTTGCTTCCTGTTATCTATGCTACACAAGTTTGGGGTATATACTCGGGTGAAAAAGCAGAAAACGTAACAGTGCTACTTGGTGCACCATGGCTTTGGTTTCTGCTTGCTCCCAGGCTCTCTGGGAACCCTCTGCAAGCACAGTGTAGTGGTCAGCCAGGGCATTCCTACTTGGGTTTGAGTCTCACCCTCTAGTGTTCTTGCTTCCAGGATTTCCCTGTTAAAATTCAAATTTTCTTCAAATCCTGAGCTTTCTGGCACCTCAACATGGTAAAGCCAGCATTTTCCAACGGTGGTTGTGGAAAACCCTCAGGCAAGAAAGCCACAAGCACCCAATTCTAAGCCATTGTAGCTGCTACTCTCTGAGAGTAACTCGCCCAGTTTTAGTATGCTTTTGGAAACTTTTCAGTCCCTTTGAATAGTAGTTTTCTTTCCAAAACTTTATCTCACCTGTGAGAGAGTTTGTGTAACCACTTTCTTCCTCTGCTATTTACTAGATATTTTTGCTAAATTTCTTTAAATTTAAACATCTTCATCTATTTGCCCTTTGAGGGAATGCAATTTTCTCCTGCTGTTCAAACAACTTCTTTACCTTTAGAAGTGGGTCTGCATGTTCCAGATACCAGCCGGCAACCGCGTGGCCTGCCTCGTGGTATGCTACCGTTTTCTTCTCCTCGGGCTGCAGAACCTGGGTTTTTTTCTCTAAGCCTGACAAAAGGAAAAAACCAAAACCACTTTTATGTTAGTGACACTGACATAAAAAGAGTTATTCAATATTTCACAGTGCCTTATCTAAAAGGTGATTTCGAGATTAAGATGCTTTAACAATCCAAAATTTATCAATCAAGGTAGTTTTGTTGTGTTCAATAACTAGAATTTCTCAACTGATAACACATTGAGTCTAGAATTCCACTGGACACCCTGCACCTGAGACTCAGCACATCTCATCGTCTGCCAAACCAGCTGCCTCGGAGCCCCCGGCAGCTGTCGGGCTGTCCCCTTCTTCTGCCTCTGTCCTCTGGGACTACCCCTGCTGACGCTGCTATCTCACATCAGTGACTCCACGGTTCTGTCTCCAGATGCTTCCCCATTCTTCAGAGTCAGATTCACTTTCTCAGACTACTATTGATTGATTATATTACTCAGTAGCTCAGGGGAAAAACCCAACTGGCTATAGGATATTTAAAAAGTCCTTGAGATTAACATTCAAGGCTTCCTAAAATCTAGACTTAATGTTCTTCAACCTTGCCTTACTTTAAACAGGAACTGAGTCTGATCAGTTTACTTTCCCACAGCAATCAGATTGGTGTAATTCAAGGGAAGACACCTCACTCACTGCTAGCTACCCATCTGAGTGAGGCTGCCATCACCATCTCAGACTCATCCAACACCTACACCACCCATCTCCTTGCAGAGCGCAGAGGAGGGAAGGGGTTTGCAACACCAGAGGAACACAGCAGGTGCATGGTGAGCCCCACAGCTAGGGAAACATACCTTTCTTCACTTCTACATCTTGCCAAAATAATCAATGGTCTCAAATTCTTATCAGCCTTTGACTTAAGTTACATTCAGTTGCCTTACCACCAATCACTCGTTCGATTGCTTGTTCAAAGTGTTTCTGGTTTATGGACTCTGAAAGGTGTCTCGCAGCAATCAAAGCAGCTTCATTACAGACATTAGCTACATCAGCTCCTACAAAATGAATATACAGAATAGCTTACTCACCAAATGTGTCTACTCAAACTGATTAGTCACATTACGGACAACCAAATCCATAGTCAATTTCTCAACCAGCAGATTGGATAAGGGTTTTATGTAAATATAAGTCAGTTTCATTGATGATAACCCTAAGGTATTCTAGCATTCAGTAACAACCTGAAAATACTGGCCAACTGAACTAAGATAGAAGTATTAGTAATAGTTAAATGGCTCATATAAACAAAGATAGCCCTCGCTGGTTTGGCTTAGTGAATAGAGCATCGGCCTGCAGACTGAGGGGTCCTAGGTTTGATTCCAGCTAAGGGCACATGCCAGGGTTACAGGCTCAATCCCGAGTGGAAGGCGTGCAGGAGGCAGGAGATCAATGCACTTGATCTTAGCCAAAAGGCCGAGAAGTGATTGCAGCTGATCAATGATTCTCTCTCATCATTGATGTTTCTGACTCTCTAACCATTTCCTTTCCTCTCTGAAATCAATATAAATAAATAAATAAATAAATAAACAAATAAATAAATAAAAGCTAGTATTTTAAAATGCTCATTAATTAAGTCCTATTCCTGTTGGGAAAATTACTTATGTGGATATTACACAGTATGCTGACATAAAATAAAACACAAAAGCATTAAAATAACCTAGTGCATTCAAACAATGAAAGTTAAAATTGTGAAATATGCCAAATGCTTTCTTGAGCCATAAGGCTCTTTGAATTAACTTTTCAAACAAAGTAAATGGTAATACAAATAAACTATAACATAATATATGTGCTTAGCAAATAAATATTAAAATGCTATAATTATACTGCAAAGTCCAAAAACAAAAAGCAAATAAAAAGTTAGGACCCTGAGACATCTGAGATATCTATCTTCCTCTAACAATGAACTTGTTATAATCTCCTCATACTTTTCAAATGTTCCTTTTTATTCGAGTTTGGAAGAGAGAGGTAGGAAATCTATCCTGCATAAATGTTTTAAAAACATTTTGCATTTAAGAATTCTTGGAAAAAGCACATTAAAAGATGCTCAACATAATCTTTACTACACATTACACAAATACACATCAAATCCTTGAGATACCACTTCACTCCCACTAGGATGGCTGTCGTAAAAAAGACAATGACAAGTGTTGGTGAGGATGTGAAGAAACTGGAACCCTCATACTCTGCAGGTGGGAATGTAAAATGATGCGGCTGCTATGGAAAACAACTTGGCAGTTTCTCAAAAAATGATTCAGCAATTCTACTCCTACATATATAATCAAGAGAAATGAAAACATATGTCTATAAAAAATATGTACATATATTTTAATAATAGCATGATTCACAATAGCCAAGATAAAAAATAAAAAAAACCCACAAATGTCCATCAACTAATAAATGGATAAATAATATGTGGTAGCCCTAGCTGGTTTGGCTTAGTGGACAGAGCGTCAGCCTGTGGACTGAAGAGTCACAGATTCAATTCCAATAAAGGGCACATGCCTGGGTTGTGGGCTCAATCCCCAGTGGGGGGTGTATAGAAGGCAGTCAATCAATGATTCGCTCTCATCATTTATGTTTCTCTCTCTCTCCCCCTCTCTTTTCCTCTCTGAAATCAATAAAAATATATTTTAATAAGTGGTATATCCATATAATGTTATTCAGACATTAAAAAAAAAACACATGAAATTCTGACACATGCTATAACATGTATAAAGTCTGAAAACATTATGCTGCATGAAAGAGGACAGATACAAAAGACCATCCTATATAATAAAAATTGTATCAATTTGCTGAGACTGGTTTGGCTCAGAGGATAGAGCGTCAGATCTGCGGACTCAAGGGTCCCAGGTTCGATTCCAGTCAAGGGCATGTACATTGGTTGTGGGCACAATCCCTGGTAGGGGGTGTGTAGGAGGCAGCTGGTCGATGTTTCTCTCTCATCGATGTTTCTAGCTCTCTATCCTTCTCTCTTTTTCTCTGTAAAAAATCAATAAAATATATATATTTTTTTAAATTATATCAATTTGCTAATACGCAAACTGTTCCCTCAACTGGGAGTTCGACCAGGGAGCAGGGCTGGCCAGCCAACTGTCTGTGGCCTCCGTGGCCTCTCCCCCTGCATCGCGGTCAATCAGGGGCAGGCGGCTGGACCCCACCTGCATGAATTCGGCACCAGACCTCTAGTCCCATCTAATAAAAGGGTAATATGAAAATCAACTGGACGGCAGAACCACCAGTTGCTATGATGTGTACTGACCACCATGGGGCAAATGCTCAATGCAGGAGCTGCCCCCTGGTGGTCACTGCGCTCCCACAGGGGGAGCACCGCTCAGCCACAGGCCAGGCTGATGGCTGGCAAGCACAATGGCCTGCCTCCATGGCAGCACTAAGGATGTCCGACTGATGGCTTCCAAACTGCAAAAGGGCACAGGGACCCCTCTTCCCCCAAGTGCACAAATATCATTCACCAGTCCTCTAGTGTTATATAATTCTCTATATGAGAGTAGAGGATAGAAAAAAGTATACATACAAAAAATAGATTAGGGGTTGCCTACGGCTAGCAGTGGAAGGAATGGCTGCTTATGAATTCTTTTGGGGTGATGTACATATTTTTAAGTTATAGTGATTGGCTTCAAAACTACAGTGAATTTACTAAAAAAACACACTGAATTATACCTTTTAACAGAGGTGAATTTGATGGTATCTTAATTTTATTTCAATATTGAGTTGTTTTTTTAAAAAAAAAAAACAAATAATTTCTGTAACATTAATGGATAAAATGATATGCTGTCAAGGAATTTGTGACAAGTTACCCAGAGACAGAGGAAGAGGGTGAAGGTATAGACAAAGTTAAATATGAATTAAGAATTGTTCCCAAAGCTAGGTGATGGGTGCAGAGGGGTTCAGTACACTATTTTCTCAACTTGTGTGTTTGAAATTTCCCAAATAAAAAGTAAAAATATACACCTAGGAAGCCCCAAGATGCGAAGTAACAAAGTAAACTGGTGCTTGGCAGCTGTCATTGGTTTAAAAAGGACTTATAAACAGGAAATGTTTATTTTCCACTCACCTGAAAACCCCGGGGTTAAGGATGCAAGTTTTCTTGCCAGGTGATCCCTTTCCAAGGAACTGTTCAGTTTTAGGGGTCTGAGGTGAACTTTGAAAATAGAGGCTCTTCCTTTTATGTCCGGTGGTCCTGGAGAAGAGGGGTGGGGAAATCAGTGAAACTGTGACATCCTCACAAAAACTGGACTAACCCAACGAAAACCATCTTACCAATAAAGATTTGCCTGTCAAAGCGCCCTGGCCTCATCAGGGCGGGATCTAGGATATCTGGTCTATTGGTGCCTGCCAAAATGACTACATTTGTTGTTGTGTTAAAACCTGAAAAGATAACAAAGATGCAATTATTAAATGACATGAGGCAGAAAGTAACAATGTGCCTGTGAAGAATGTACTAGCACTACAGACATATGACACTTAATATTTATGATGTGTCTAAACTCCCTGGGCCATGGGACAGCCACTGTATAATTGAAGACACCTCCAACAACTTCTCCAGGCTAACCTTGCTCAGTTTTACTGGCCATTTTTCAAATGTCAAGGCCATAGCTGTAGGACCTTGGCACCTCAAGAGTTCAGAAGCTAATTTCCCCCAAAGACGGCTCTCTGATTAAAATATGTGGTGCTGCTCGTGGGCTGACCACCCTCTGATTCTGGATACAATGCCCACTCAGTAATGCAAACTGGCTCAATACTCGACACTGCGCCTCCTCTTTCCAAGCACTCAAGAGCATCCACATACCTTATGGCATGAAGAAACTGGCACATTCTAAGAATTGGCTTTCCCAAATAAACTTTAAAAAGCTGACTACCATGGAAAGATTGCTGCTTTCTAAGTAAAAGTATTCAAAATTTGCCAAATTCACATGGTTACAAATGGGTTTTTCTGATGCTTCAAAATCATAGTTTTGAGAATGAGACTATAAGTCTTTTGTAAATCATTTCACCAATTTTTCTCTTATTCAGCCCCAGATACAAATACCAGCCTTTAAAAAGGCTATTTCTTAAGGAAAATGCTTTTTATCTTTTGGTACTAAATATGAGCACAAGGATTTTCCTTTGAGATACCCTATCTAATAAAAAGGGAATATGCTAATTGACCATCAAGCCCTCACAAAGATGACAGTGCCCACAGCCAATATGCTAATTGACCATCACACCCTCAGATGGTGGTGCTCAGTCCCCTCAGCCCTGCCAGGGCAGCAGGCACGTGGTATGGCCAGGCACGCCCCCAGGGGGGTCTGGCCGCTCTGCATGCCTACCTCCAGAGTCCCCCAGTCCCCTCAGTCCTCCAGCTACCCAGGGCCAACCCAAGGCGCAGGCAAGCCTTGAATGTCGGCTGCCCAGACACCCAGGGCTGGCCCAAGGCTCAGGTAACCAGGGCCAGCAGAGGCTCGCACTGCCAGGAGTGGCAACAGCAGAGGTGTGATGGGGGTGTCACCTTCCCCTGATCACCAGGTCACCTCCAACCTGAGGGCTCCCAGACTGTGAGAGGGGGAAGGCCGGGCTGGGGGACCCCCCTCCAGTACATGAATTTTCATGCACCAGGCCTCTAGTAATATACAAAAGAGTGTAGTTTAAAATCCAAAAGACTTGAAAACTCACCATCCATTTCCACAAGCAACTGGTTAAGTGTGTTCTCCTGTTCACTCTGCCCGCCAAAGTTGCCTCTTCCTCTCTTCCTTCCCACGGCATCTATTTCATCAATGAAGAGAATGCAAGGGGCATTCTTCCGAGCAAGGGCAAATAAGTCTCGAACCTGAGTAAAAATATAAATAATAGTCAGTTGACAAATGAATACTATTTATCCTCCAAATAAAAAATAAACATCAACTTTCCTGTCTCACAGGAAGAAAATTCTTTTGTGTGTGCTCTACAATACAGTACATATTTTAACCCTTTGCACTCCACTGTCCCCTCTCAGGGGACATCGGAATTCTAGCATATCACTCGGATGTCCCCTCTCAGGGGACACTGCAGTTTATTAGTGATTATGGGGAATTGAGTTAACTCAACGCATGTTTTGCAAAGTAGCGTCGAGTAGCTGGTAGCCAATGTCCAGAATGGTTCGGAGTGCAAAGGGTTAAAAGTAACAAGCAGCAAAGAAGTGGCAAGTAACTTGGTGAGTAACTGATTTAAGGTGAGCAAATATGTCTATAATCTCAAATTTGACCTTTTTATCACATCTTATTAACTAAAAATGGATCATATTAATTTGAAATAGATCATAAATCTAAATTAAACCACTGAAACTATAAAACCCTTAGAAGAAAACATAGGGAAAATATTTACAACCTTGATTTGGCAATAGATTCTTAGTTGACACTAAAAGTAGAAACAACAAAAGAAAAAAACCATAGATATATTGGACTTCATCAAAATTTAAAACTTTGGCGCTTCATTCTCAAAAACATGAAAAGACAACACACAGAAAAAAATAAAATATTTGGTTTAGTGGATAGAGGATTGGCCTGAGGACTGAAGGGTCCCAGGATTGATTCCAGTTAAGGGCATATGCCTGGGTTATGTGGGATGTGCAGGAGGCAGCCGATAATATTAATAATTCTCTCATCATTGATGTTTCTATCTCTCTCTCCCTTTCACTTCCACTCTGAAATCAATAAAAATAATATATTTAAAAGAAAATATTTGCAAATCATATATCTGACTAGGCAGTTAGTATCCATAATATATAAAGAACTCTTACAACTCAACAAAAAGAGAACCCAATGAACAGACTGCAATCGTGGTCAGAGTGAGGAAAGGTGGGGTGAAGTCACAGGCCTTGCTGAGGCTTTTTCCTGGAAGAGTGTGCAAAGCAGTGACTGCAGAGGGGTCACTCCACAGGACTCCAGGCAAAGGGCCATCTTTACTAAATCCCCATTTCAGGGGAATAAAGGAGGAGAAGGAGAAGAGGAAGTTGCACCATCAGAATAAAACAAGACTTACTCTAGCTGGACCCACACCAACAAACATCTCTAAAAACTCGGATCCACTAACGGTGATGAAAGGGACATTGGCTTCTCCGGCGGTGGCCTTAGCCAGCAGTGTTTTCCCGGTGCCTGGAGGACCGGTAAGAATGGCACCCTTCAGATAAAAAAAGAGAAAGTTTATTTAACTAGAATTTCAGAAAAGTAAATTGCACATCTATAGATAATTCCTAGGTACAAATTATATAAAATTTTAGTGATATACACTAAATATTTCTTCAACACTTGAAGGTAGTATATTAGTAAGAAGAGGAAGAAAAGGATTATTAGACTATATTACTTTTGAAAATTCGATCAGAATGTGAAACCTTAGATATTTCCCTTATTTTATAAGATGTTTAATGTACTTTTTAGACCTTTCTAACAGTACATAAAGGATGAATTAAGCTAGGAAACTACTATTAAACTACTAATAGGGAGAGAGAAACCAACTAAAGTTTACTTAAATAATTTAAGGAGACACAAACATTACACTCCCAATTTATATTCTGCTTATTTTATTGCCTTCAAAATTTCACAAATGAAATAAAAATTTACTGACCAATGGTGAACTAAAAAAGAAAAAAAATATTTAATTAAACACTATAATTACTTAAATTGTGAAGATGATTAAATACGATGTATACAGGTAATTAAGTAAGTTAATAGCAAATTATAAAAATGGGTAAATATCCATATAGGTAGGATACAAAACCAAGGGAACGATAATTCCCTTTTTCAAAGGTTTCCTTTAAAGTAAATGTTATTAATAGATTTTTAAAAGAACTAGTTAAAATTTTCTGATTCATTTACTTAATGACTGGGAATATAACGATTAGCAAGGCCAGCTGACCACCAGCTGTGGTCACAAGGACGTCTGCTAAGAAGAGGGAAGGCAAGAATTAGTGCTGTCTGGCTCTTGTCCACTGAGTCCTGTGCCATGGATCTCAGAGCCAAGCCCAGGAGGGGGTCTATTCAGACCTGCTGAAGGAGGGGCAACTGGGTGACAGCAGGGAGGAATATGCTCAGGGCACTACAGCCTCTAAGAAAGGGTATCTAAAGCAGGCTGGAGGGAGAAGGAAGGCAACTCAAGGAAAGCTTCCAAGAGCAGAAAATACAAATCTTTTGGAACATACATAGTACATGCAAGAACACACATTCCCACACACTAAGCAACCCCAAAAAGACCCTCGAGTAAGCAGAGACTAATAAGTTAAAAGAGAAAAACAGCTTCTTTATAATGAGTAATCAAACTTCATAAAATTATAACTTCAGAGATCAAGAAATAATTCAAAAGATTTTGGGGTTAATGAGTTAGAAATAACCTCTGGAAGTTTGCTTTACCTTTGGAATTTTTGCTCCTAGGTCTTGATACTGCTTTGGGTTTTTCAAGAAATTCACAAATTCCATTATCTCTAGCTTAGCCTCCTCGCAGCCAGCCACATCTTTGAACTTCACATCTATCTCATCCTTTAAGACCTTGGCAGTGGTTTCTCCAACACTGAAGAGTCCACCCATACCACGGCCTGTTCGACCAATACCAGCAGGCCCCCTTCGTATGGTATACAGTAAGAAAGCGATGATGAGCACCGTGGGCAACATGCTCAGGAGGAAGGAACTAAAAAGGGAATCATACACAAGAGCAACATACTTTTAAGACTGTTAATCACTGGCTTTTTTAATGTTTTGCAAAATATACTTTCATTGTTGTTGTTAAATCTTCATCTAAGGTTATCTTTTTCCATTGATTTTTAGAGAGTAAAGGGAGAGGGAGAGAGAAACACTGATGTGAGAGACACAATGAATGATTGCCTTCACTCCCTCAGGTGCCCTGACTGGGGCCAAAATCAAACCTGCAAGCTAGGTACATGTCCTTGACCAAGAATCGAACCCATGACCTTTCAGTATGTGGGCCAGTGCTATAACCACTGAGTCACATTGTCCAGGGCAGCATTTACATATTTAAATTTATACCATTTTATTATGAATTTTTTTCTTTCTCCTTCTTATTACAGTTCTTATTATATCGTGTCGAGTAATAATTAATGTCGTTTTTAAACATTCGTTTAAAATCTTGCTTGGCGTTGACTTGTATTGACATAACCTTCAAACACGTGGTATCTACAGAACGTGTGAAGTGCAATTAACAAGTTTTGCTTGAAAAAGTTTGTGTTTGGTTTGGTTTTTGTTGCAAAACTAGGGCTAAGAAGATGGCGGATGAAGAGCATATTCGGCACTGCATGCTTTACGAGTTCCAATTAGGAAGAAAAGCAAGTGAGGCTGCAAAAAACATCTGTAGTGCTCTTGGTCAAGATGCAGTTAGCGCCAGAAAATGCCAGCGTTGGTTTGAGAAATTTCGCAAGGGAAATTTTTCGTTAGATGACAAGAGTGGTCGAGGCCGTGTGTCCAATTTTGATCAAGAAGCTCTTCAAGCTCTTTTGGTGCAAAATCCTCAAATTACCCAACAAGAGCTTGCGACAACTTTAAATTATTCACAAAAACAATTTCCAATCAATTGCGTGCACTTGGCAAAGTCCAAAAGTTTGGAAAATGGGTTCCTCATGAGTTGACCGACAACAACCGTAATCAAAGAGTCACAATTTGCATTCGCTCCTCTCTCATCAAAACCGTTTGCCGTTTTTAGAGCAAATTGTTACCAGAGATGAAAAATGGGTGCTGTATGTTAATTTGAAAAGGCGGCCTCAATGGTTGGACAAAAATGAGGCTCCGCAGCCCACGCCAAAACCTGACTTGCATGCGAAAAAAGTGATGTTGTGTGTTTGGAGGAATTTTAAAGGAATTCTTAATTATGAACTTTTACCATCTAACCAAACCATTACAAGTGCAGTGTATAGTGCCCAATTGGAAAGGTTAGCCCAAGCTTTAAGAGAAAAAGAACCCGCGCTGATTAATCGGAAGGGCGTAATTCTTCACCACGATAACGCACGACCGCATACTACAAGAATCACTGCTGAAAAACTGCGCCAGTTGGAATGGGAAGTTCTCCCTCAACCTGCATATTCTCCTGATATTGCCCCTTCCGATTACCATTTGTTTCGTTCTTTGCAAAACTTTCTTCTTGGAAAAAAATTTAATAATGAAGAATGCCTCAAAAATGCATTGACCGAATTTTTTGCATCAAAATCACAAGAATTTTACAACAGAGGGATTAAAATGCTTCCTGAGCGTTGGGCACAAGTAGTAGAAAACAACGGCAACTATATTGTTGATTAAATTTTGTTGTATTGTTTAAATAAATTCGATTTTAAAAAAAGTATTAGAAAACGACATTATTACTAGACCTAATATACTGATTTCTTTTCAAAATCATGCATGTACTTAATGATTGTAAAAGGGATATTATAAAATCTTGAAGGAATGGCATCAAAACTGCTAATAAAATTTATCTCTGCGTGTTGAGGTTATAAATGCTTATTTTCTTTGTATTTCCTTAGTTTTCAACAGAGAACATATACTGCCTGCTTAACAGACTTCCTGTTGAATATGGATATAAGATTTTTAGTCCCACTACTTATACAGTAGCAATTGTTACTGTGCTGCTTGTGCGGTATCGGTGATGATGTGCGTTGCACAGCCACTCTGCTCGGATTGTGCGGTTTCAGACAGATTCACAAGAGCTGGTTAGCCCTCCAAACCTCGTGTCTGCTCCGGGGCAATGTGCTCAGAAATGACTTAAAGCATGGGGATGCCTTTTGTCTATTTGTCTCAGGTCAAAAACCAGTATGTACTTTTAATTTTTCATCCTTTACAATATGTTAAATGCTCCTACAGCAGGCAACAAGAACCATGAAAAATTTACATTTGGTTTATTTCTGGAGGACACAACACTGACAATAAAAATGTAAAGAATTGTGCAATAATACTTTTGTAATGTTTCAGCAACAGCCTATAAAGTTAAATAATTATACTATAGCCTCAAGGGCTGCGAGATATATCACCTGTGAGACCACTTCAATAACTATCTAAGTCTAAATACTGCAGGTAGGTTGTAGGTTTACATAAACCAGGATTTAAGAAGGTCCCTAATGAGCAACCGAACAGCTCAATCAACTCTCCATTTCTCTGCTTTCATACACACACAAAAATGAACATTTATTTCTGTTTTCACTTTCAAATTTGTAACTCTAGAGCAAGGTATACCTTTAGTATTTAATGCAAATGGAGTGATCTACCTGGCTGTAGATCACTGATGACCCCTCACAGGCAATATAATTCCTAAATAAACTTAAAGACAAGTGACTTCTGAAATCACTTCTTGAAAGACTCAGACTTCTAAGTGGCTTTGTTAAAGACAAGTAACCCCGAAGGGAAGCAGCAACTTTGACAAGAATTACTTTAAAATATTGGAAAATTCTGGAATATAAATGTGAATGTAGTTAAAAGGTAGGAATGCCACTCTTTAACACATCATAGCTCTTTAAGCTAAGATCCTACTAAAAGTGCAATGGGTATGAATACCCCAAACCATTGCTTAATCATTATATAAATGTGTAGAAAATCTATCAGTTACTAGCAAGAACTATAAATTACCAATGGGTTTTTAAAAAATCTGGCCAAACTGAAAAAGGCTTATTTGACAATCTAATGTGTAACCGGCATGTACTTAATAGATAGAACACAAAGTGAATCATGAGCATGGTGAATAGTCTTCAACATGTTTAAGTATTTTCACTGCTTCTTACCCATCGCTTTCAGCAATATAGACAACAGGTACTCGATGCTCCCCTTCGATGCCCAATTCCTGCTGTAAAGTTTCCAGATTCCGTTCAAAGGTGTCCACACTGCCAATATTAAACCAGACGTATTGCTATAAAAACAGAAAAACAAAATATCCTAAGAATGAAGGGGAAACAAGAGTTTAATTCATTAAAGGGTTCAGCTTTTAAAGAATATTTTAAGAAATACTAAAAGTATACGAATTAAAAAACCCAACAATAATAAAAGACTGGTTTTAATGACACAGTTATTAAGTTTCACTCTGTGAGAACACCTAGCAATCCTTGGCAAATAAGCATTTCTTAAGCAATATTCCACACTAGTTTTAAAAGTATAAACTCAAAAGAATAAAAAATCTATTTGAAAACAATGCTTTTTTATCTTTTCAGAAATATACTTATTTTACCTCTTCTTCACTTCCCAGTTATTTCTCAGCTGCCTATTCCCAAACTACTAGTAAAAGCTAATGTGACACAGTAATAACAACCAAAGTAAAACCTTAACTGCAATATGAAGGAGAAAGTAATTCAAAATAAAGTGGGATAACTTTCATGTCAATGCTTGTGCCTGCCAATACTAACTGTGACCCTTATCCTCTGGAAAGAACGCTGCCCACTGAGAGCCCCACTCCAGCCGAGGGATTAATGCTCCAGCGAAGTAAGGAGCCCTACTGGTAACCAGGCCAAAGGTAGACATTTATCTATGTATAATTTTTGCTCCATAAACAATGATTTAAAAAACATCCTTATATAGATATCTTCAGATTCCCGTCAAGGGCATGTATCTTGGTTGCGGGCATATCCCTAGTAGGAGGTGTGCAGGAGACAGCTGATTGATATTTCTCTCTTATCAATGTTTCTAACTCTCTCTCCCTCTCCCTTCCTCTCTGTAAAAAAAAATATATATATTTAAAAAAATAAAATAAAGTCTTGGAATACTACTAAAAACTGGGATTTCACTCACTGTTTCCTAAATGCATGGCCAAAATGATTACTAAAACCAAAACAATCCTCAGATCACAATTATGTAGGCAACATGCACATTCTCACCTATGGTGGTGAAGATTACAACTGCTGCACTGCCCAATGCTGGCATGTCCAGTGTATGTGAGGGAATGTTTGCTTTTCAGCTTTAAATCTGAAAAGTTAATTTACAGCTAATGCACATCAATTAATAAAATCATTTACCCCATCAACAGGAGTTTTCCCTGGTGTAAAAGTCACTCGAACAAAACGCTTGTTGACGACTTCCAGTCTGTCTACCTGGAATTTTAAAAAGTTAAATATTCAAACATAAGTGTATAGAAAAGACCTGAGATATTCTTTTAAGCTCATTTAAAATGCAAATATTATTTCAGGCATACAAAGAATGATGATAAATAATTTAAGGATAACCCATTTCTCCCTTCTGGCTTGAGAAATAAAACACTACACACTGCTGACGCCACCAGTCTCGCCCTCTCCTGCAGAGGTGGCCACTCTGCATTGTGTGTGGACCATCCCAAAGCACTGTACCATGCACAAAAGTCACCCTACACATACACTCAACAACAAAAACAGTGTCATTTGGTATGTATTTTTTCACAGCATTCTCTTTCTTCCTTTTGTTCTGTCTGTGAAGTTTACCCACGCTGACATGTCAGTCTGTGGAACACTACACACTGCTGACGCCACCAGTCTCGCCCTCTCCTGCAGAGGTGGCCACTCCATTGAGCACACCTCAAATTATTTATCCATCCTTGTCATAACAGACATTGCGGCCGTTTGAAAATGTTCGATATCACAAACAATGCTGTTATGAACATTCCTGTAAAACCTTCCCACTCTCTTCCTCTCTGTAAAAAATCAATAAAATATGTTTAATTTTTAAAAGGGGATTTTATAGCAAATTTGGGAGTTGCTGGGTCAAAACAAACAGGTTTTTTGGTTGCAGTACTTTTCAGCATTAAAAAAATCCAATATGAAAATAGTACCTCTTCAATGGACAAGCTTTGCTAACTCATTGACTGTCACTTTATTGACCTAACCCACTGGTTTTACCTTTTTAACCACAGTAGCCTCCAATCCCATAAAATACTTACTACTCCTTTGGAAAGATAGTTGTTGACAAAGTCCTTCCATGTGATTTCTCTTCCAGAGCTCTTGAACAAGAAGTAAAACATGACTCCACCCCAAAACAGAGTAGTCCAGAGAAAGTACATCCTGAATTCCTTGTCATCCCATGGAAAGTCACCCTGGGCAAAAAAAGAGACCGTTTCTGTGAAGAATGAAATGTCACAATACGTTCTATGTTATGTTAGACTCAAACATACATCTCTCAATGCCATTAACGCCTAACTTTCCTGGGGCCAACCCAGGTCCTCAAAATTAACGAACAGCTGAGAATCTAACCTTCTGAAACCTGGTCCACCAATGAGAATCCTCTTTCTTGCCACCTCGTTTTCCACCGCCACCAACTCCTCCTCCAGAAGGTCGTGGGGAAGCAGCTGGCTTTGATTCTGTTCATAAACAAAGCGCATATACAGCAGCGTAGCAGGTTTTTATATCTCAACATGTTTCCGTTAATAGTTAATAAGTATATATTATAAAACACATTATGGCAACTGACCAGTTACTAAATAAAGTACTATGAGGAAGGATGAGACTAATACAAAGAGTAAACATTCAAGGAGACTTGTCAGTACTTTATGTAATTATCTCATGAAATCTGTAAAATAACCCAATAACCTGGTAATTACACCCATTTTCCAGATGAAGAAATTGTAGCTTAAAACGTGAATTGTCTGTTATAGTTTTAAGTGATAGTGACAGAGAGGGTGAATGCAGGAAAGTGAATTCCTGAGTTCCCACTTGAAGGTAAAAAGGACTCTGCTTTCCCACTCCCATAAAGTGGATAGTTAACAGGTTTTTCTGTAGGAAAGACAAGATTCTGAAAACTGGCTTTAAAAATAAAATAAAATATAAAAAACCCTACCCACATAAAATTAGTTTGCAAGAATCTAAAATTAGTCACTGTTATGGGTTGAATTGTGTCCCTCCTCCCCTAATTCATATGTTGGAGTCTTAACCCCCAGTGGTCATATTCGGAGATAAGATCTTTACAGAAATAATCAAGTTAAAATGAGGTCCTGTGGGTGGATCCTAATCCAATATGATTGGTGTTTCATAATGCAGACTGGTGCAGCCACTATGGTAAGTAGTATGGAGTGATCCCACTTCTAGGAATGTATCCTAAGAATCCCAAAACACCAATCAGAAAGCATATATGCACCCCTATATTCACAGCGGCATTATTTATAATAATTAAGACCTGGAAACAGCCCAAGTGCCCATCAGTAGATGAGTGAATAAAAAGCTGTGGTACATTTATACCATGGAATACTACACAGCAGTAAAAAAAGAAGGATCTCTTACCCTGTGAGACAACATGGAGGGACCTGGAGAGTATTATGCTAACAAAATAAGCCAGTCAGAGAAAGACAAGTATCACGTGATCTCACTTATATATGGAATGTAATGAACAAAATAAACTGATTAACAAAATAGGTCCAGAGACACAGAAGCATGGAACAAACTGAAAAAATCTCAGAGGGAGTGAGGGGAGATTAACCAAAGAAGTTATATAAGCACAGTGAAGGTCTGGAGAGGGCGTGGGAGTGGGGTGGAGGAGGTTAATGGGGTGAAAAGGGGGACATCTGTTAACACTTTCAACAATAAAGACAAATTTTTTAAAAGGGTGGGGAGAGAATTTGGACACAGATATGAATAAAGAAAGTCCATGAAGACACAGAAAAGACAGCAATCTGAATCCCTGAAGACACTGAAGAACAACTTGAAAAAATGGACTATACCACCATATGTATCAAATAAACTGCCTGTTTTAGGTTTCTAAGATTTTTCTCAGTGACTTAAATTATGTGTCAAATATATTCGTTAAATATGACTAATATTGATCAGTCATTATCTCTAAGGTGACCTTAAATTAATTCAACTTGAAAAATGACAAGAAAATGTAACGAGAAAATTAAAGATAAAATAAGACACCGAGTGTAATACCGTATATACTTGTAACCTACTAGTTTCAGAATTGCCTTAAAATAACACTCTTGTTCAGTGAAAACTATCACCAACATCATGTGTTAGAGGAAAATGGTAAGTTCAAACATAAATCTTTTTAAAAGGTACCTTTTTTTTCTCCCGTAACTTCTTTAGGTTCACTAGCTTTTTTCCCATTTTTTCCATTTTTTCCATTAGGAAAGTATTTTTCAAATCCTGAAATAAAAAATACATATCCTCAAACTAAAAGTCATCAGGTTTGGTGTATGTGTATTCATTTTTAAAGCAACTGATCCATCATTAACAAGCGTAAGCTAAAAGTGTAACATTTCTTATGTAGGAGTAAATCAGTCAAATACAGTTCACAACCCAGGGGTGTGAAAGGAAGAAGTCTCATTGGCATGCCAACTTCATCATCTTCACATGTGAAGACGACACATTTTCATCTGCAATCAGACTGGAGGCGGCAGGGTGAGTTACAGCGGGAGACAACCTGAAACACCACCTGTACCCACCCCCGTGTAATAAACACCTACTGGGCACAGCTCTTTAACAAGGAAGAACATTATGGTCACATGGGAAGTGTTTACCTTTCGGAGGGCGAGAACAGAATCTTCGATAAGCAGCAATTACATCTGTCAAAAGTGAGTTTCTGCTGGTCGTTGCTTGAGTTGTAGCATAGCGATAAAGCTGCAACATGACATAGGAAAGCATCAATTATACTAAAGAATTTTTTTTAGGGGCTTCATTTCCTAATATCATAAAGTGGATGAAATGTTTCTCCCTTCAACAGGTGGTCACAGACCAGCAGAGACAGACCCTTCCTAGGGAACCTGCTACTCTATCCAGCAATAGACATAAATCACGATCCGGAACACAAGAATACTTCAAAATCACACGTAAGTTAGACCTGTAGCCCAACTACAACTCTGCCAACACATTCTCTTGGATATTGTTTACTTAATTTGCAGCATTCAAAAGACAAACTTGGACAGAGAAAACCTGCTGCTTCATGTTGAATAACCTGCAGGGTCTATAATACTGAAAAATTTATCTGAAATTACAGAACAATGCTGCTCATAAACAATTTACCTTAGTTCAAAGATAAAGTTATAGTCCAACATCACTGATAATACTTATACTAGTAATAGTTGATACAGATATTTAATATATTGTCATCCCAGTGAGAACCTTTGTTAAATATTACAGATACATCTGTTTTAAATAACATTTGTTGCTAAAAAGTTGTGTATAAATAAAATCGAGGTAAATAAAAGTATAACATAAAACAACTGAAGGAAGCTTCCCATTACATTTTTAGTACAGTTAAAAGCAATCAAAGGTAAGGCACATTGAGGGGATATATCCAAATCTGGGAGTGAAAAAGTTCAAGTAATATTATCCTTTTGCAAAGTAAAAATTCATAACCATTTTTTTTTTTGGAGGACAAACTTTTAAATACAGATGAGAATGTTTAAAATGAAGTGCATCTATATTAGCATTCATCATTGTTAGCCTCCTTTATGGTCTGATGAGAAAAGTAAAGCATCACAAAACCACTTCACATTCACTAGAGTAGCAATAACCAAAAAGACTGACAATAACAAGAGTTGGTGAGGATGTGGAGAAAAGTGGAATCCTCATACGCTGCTGGTGGGAATGGAAAGTAGTGCAGCCACCTGGAAAAGTTTGGAATTCTCAAAATGTTAAATGTCTCTCTGGCCAGGTGGCTCAGCGTCCCATTCACCAAAAGGTTATGGGCTTGATTCCTGGTCAGGACACAGACCTAGGTTTCAGGTTCGATGTTTCTCTCTCACATAGATATTTCTTTCTCTCCCCCTCTCCCTCTCTCTCTCTTTTTAAAATCAATGGAACTATATTCTCAGGTGAAGATTAAAAAAAAAAAGTGGTACATTCATACAATGGAATATCATTCAGCCATAAAAAGAAATGAAGTACTAATAAATGCTACCACATAGATAAGCCTTGGAAACATAATGCTTAAGTTCAAGAAATCAGACACAACAAGCCACACATTATGATTCCATTTATATGGCACGTCCAGAATAGGTAAATCCACAGAGAATGTAAATTAGTAGCTGCCTTGGGCTAGAGGAATGACTGGGGAGAATAGGAAGTGATGGTTATAAATATGTCAAAAATCACACTTTAAGATAATAAAGTTTATGGTATGAGAAAAAATGTCAATTAAAAACAAAACAAAAAATGAGCTTATTTAACTTCAAATTAATACACAATTACACAGCAAAACAGGACTGAAATACTGATACTGTTCTTGATTGACAGCAATGCTGGTCTGACAGCTATCACCGTCAGCACAGAGGACTTCCTTATATGTCAACATGGATGATGCACAAGGACAATAGTGTTCCTCCAAAGAAAGGCCTTTTTGGTAAGATTCCTGACATAAAAACTGCAAATAAAAGGCAGATCATACAGGCTTCTTATATCTAAGTCCAATAATCTCTAGAGGCAAAAAGAAGAATTACAGCAAAACAAAATAGGGAAATGAATGCAATGCAAGAAACTGAAAAGGGATAGTACGGGCAGTATGGAGTAGAAAAGAGATGAAGATAATTCAAGACTGGTGAGGGACGTTCAAAGAGTAAAAACCATGAATACAGGTGTGGATGAAAAAGACTAGCAGTAATAAATCTAAAGGAAAGTAACCTTATGGAGTAATCTGATCATTAAATTCCAAACTGGGCAGGTCATGTTGGGCAGCCACACCCCAGGCATATAACTTCAAGTAAAAGTTTTATCTTTCCTTTAAGCAAGCCCTCTCCATTGCTTCTGTGCATCTGACACACTTTTGAAATGCTTCTTTTTCAGACCCCTCAGAAGCATAACCACCCTCGAGAGAACTCATAATCTTAGCCGTCCTGTTATCCAATCCCCACCTTGCCTTCTCCCACCTTCATGTAATCTAGCTAGTGTTCCCTCCTTAATTTTAAATGTATAAAAGAAACTGTAAGTTGCCTTTCTCCTGAGCACTTGAGATTTTGTTTCTGTCATCAGTTTGGTTCAAATAAACTCATAAAAATTCTCCAAGGTTTAGATGTTTCTCACCTCCACACAGGTACTACCAATAGCCCCTTGTAAGTGCAGAGGCTAACTCCAGGGCCTTAACCCACCAGCTCTTTGCCTCTCTGTGTATTCTAGTAAACAGAACAACGCTGGGCTCTGAGGAACTGACAGACAGCAAGAACCCCTGTCGCTGAAATAGCCGACCTCCACTACTTACTACATCACCTTTACTGGAGACACACTGAGGCCAGGACCAGTGGGCTAAGGAAACGGAGACAGATAATTGAACAAAGTGGCCACGCAATTTACAACCAGATACAGAAAGGTCTCCTCCCTGGAGATAACATCTAAGCTTCAGCTGGATTTCAAATCCAGAAAAGCAGCAAAACCAGGACCAGCTGAACGGACCCCTGGCCCCAGCACTGACCAATGAGTAGAGACCACACCCTGAAAGAATACACTTGGAAAACTGAATATTCTGCTGAAACCCTCCTGAGATGAGACCGGCCCTAAAATTCCCACTGACAAGAGAGAGAAGCCTCAAAAAAAAGAACCGAGAGAGAAAACCCTCAAGAAACCGGTTTGGCAGGGACTGATTTGGCTCAATGAATAGAGCGTCGGCTTGGGGACTGAAAGGTCCCAGGTTCGATTCTCCGGTCAAGGGCATGTACCTTGGTTGCAGACATATCCCCAGTAGGGGGTGTGCAAGGGGCAGCTGATCGATGACACTCTCACTGATGTTTCTAGCTCTCTCTCTCTCCCCCTTCCTCTCTGTATAAAATCAATAAAATATATTAAAAAAAAAAAAAAAAGTTTGGCTCAGTGGATGGAGCCTCGGCCTGCGGACTAGAGGATCCTGGGTTCGATTCAAGTTTAAAGGTCACGTACCTTGGTTGTGGGCACATCCCCAGTGCGGGATGTGCAGGAGGCAGCTGATCGATGTTTCTCTCTCATCGATGTTTCTAACTCTCTATCCCTCTCCCTTCCTCTCTGTAAAATAATCAATAAAAAAATATGTTTTTAAAAGAAAAAGGGCCCAGCTTGTGCTCTCCCTTGAGGAGCCCGCCCCTTCCCTCTCAGAAGAGGCTCGCATTTCCTAAACTCAGAGCTCCAGGAGACCTGTAACCAGGGGAGCGATGGCGCGGCAGTTCATTCTAGACTCACCCCCGAACCTAGTCCCAGGCCCTTTTCTCTGACTTCCATGTGGGCTAAAGCCCCCGCCTAGGCTCTCCTGTTGCTTCTAACTATACTAAGCCCTTCCTTGTTTTCGGATGCCTGGACCTTCAGAGTCACCTGGCCTCGTGCTGTGAAATTCTCCCTACACAAGCCAAGAGCCCAGGCGCTAGGGCCAGAGCTGGGCAGACCTGCTCAGGGCCAGGGCCCCCGCCCGCCCCGCACCAAGATGGCTGCCAGTTTGTCTACTGGCCTCTGCTGGTTATCCCCGAGAGAGACCCCCTTCTCTGAGGACAGGCAGGCCCGTGTCCCCCGAAGAGGGGCATTATAATATCTTAGAACCACAGTTCAAATGTACTGGCGTGTGCGATGTGCCAGACACAGAACGCCAGCAATGGCCCCACTCAACAGATGGGAAAGTGGAGGCTCGTAACTCCAACGCCTGTGCTTTTCTCACATCCTGCTCGGGTGCAGGCACAACACATGCGCCCCCTTTTTCCAATGCCATCCAAGGTGAAAACGCAGGCAACCGACGCCGAAGATGTGACAGATGTAAGCTCCTCTTAACCTTGTTAGATCTCGGTTGCCACGGTCACCCTTGCATGAAGTCACAGGGCCCTCGAAGACGATCTTTTGAAGTCCCCGGATAACAAGGATCTGACTCCATCGGAGATACATTATTTCCAAAAATCCAACACGACGCTCAGACAGGCGCCGGCGTGCTCCCGAGAACCACGGCACAGCCGGCCCGGAGCGCGGGGCGCCCAGGGCTCTCAGGGCGGCGCACGCGGCCTCCTCCCCCGAGGAACTCGCCCCGGGCGCCCGGCGGTCCAGGAGCGCGCCCCGGGGCCGGTGACCTTGACGCCCAGCTCTCCGGACCCGGAAGCCGGCCCGGCTGGGGGCGGAGGGCACAGAGCGCCCGGGACTCACCGTCCGGAGGTAGGCCTGTTTGTTGGGGCCCACGCCGCCGCCGGTAACGAGCAGCGGGGGCAGGCCGCGGGGCCGGCAGCCGCCCCGGCCCCACAGCAGCAGGCAGCGGTGCGCCATGGCTGCCGGCGCACCCCGCACGGGCCGGGGGCGCTGCGCAGGCGCGGCTCAGCGGCCGCGGACGGGCAGCGGCCGGTGGCTCCGGCCGGCGGGGGACCGCTCGGAAGTGAGAAAGCACAACGTAGTGGGCCCGCCGCTCTCGGGCAAGCCCACGCTCCCCGACGCGCGCTTTTCCCGACCCCGGCGCGCTGACGTCAGCCGTAAGGCGGGGCCTCCGTCCCGGCCGCTCAGGCCGCTCCGCAACGTCACTGAAAGAAGAGCGTGGAGGGCGCGGAGGGCGGTGGGCGGAGCCGAAGAGAGAAGGGAGAACGGGGAGTGGAGGGCGGGGCTGGAGGCGGGGCCTAAGGGGAGGGGCCTGGGAGGTGGTGGGCGGAACCGAAGCGGGCGTGGGAGGGCGGGCCTTAGTTAGAGGGAGGGACCAG